GCCGGATGGCAATTATGATTACGATTACAATTACGATCGTGATATGCAGTCGGGCAATTGATATGAACCGTTTTATGTACATATGTATGTACATTCAAATGTGGCTTTATCGAATTCTTGCAGAAAAAAAAGGTAATAGGTTTGAAAAATCACAATTGATGATTTTGGGGCAAATCGTATTTTTAATATGGAATTTCTTTTAACATTTTTATACAGACTATTTTTTGTAGTTGTATTATTTGTTTGAAGAAAATTAAAAAATTAATATGTTTATGTGGTTACCATTTTGTAGTGGCAATGGTGTACCACCCATTAAATATGGAACGGAAATAAATAAATAAATACATACATATGTACAATAAATAGGGAAATTGTTGGTTGGTCATGTGTGCGTTTGCATATTGTATTTATTGTATAGTTTATGATCCCTCTTGTCAGACACGTAGCTCACATTTCGAAACCCCTTCCCCGTTTTTAACAAACAAATCTCAGATGTGGACGAAATTGAAAAAGAGGCGACCCTACCATATTCCACTGAAATTGGAGAGCTCTAGGGAATGGAACGTCGCCAAAGTGAGTGATTATAGTGGGCGGAAAGGGGGCGGAATGTAGGGGTGAATATGTATGTACATACATACATATATTCCACGAATCGTGAGAAAATAATCTGGCAGAACTTTGGGCTGCGTTTATTAACCTCTAGTTGGTTCTGTAACGAACACTTTGATTGGTTTTAAAATAATAATAAAGCTGGATTTTATTTTCAGGCTCCAGTGCTCAAGAACGCAAGGTTAACTTATAAAAATTATAGATTTTATGTATGTATTATACATTTAAGCATAGGAAGCTATGTACATATAGAAACTATCCAAAAAGGTGACTGTCAATTGTGAATTGCGCGAATTGACAATTGTGAATTATGTGTATGTCGCTTGGCCTTGAACCTGAAATTCGCAGTTCATTTAATTTTTTTCAATTCTTATTTCTGTTTTGCCTTTTGGAACGCTGCTTGCACTGTGTGCTCGCTGTTATTGTTGTTCGTTATTATTATTAGTATAATGCCTTTTGTTTTATTTGACTTTTTTCGCACTCTGCATTCGTTTTGTCTGTTTGTTGTTCTCGTTCGCGTTTTAATTTTCCTTTTCGTTTTTTTGTTTTTTGGGTTAATGAACTGAATTGTACCATTTTCCCCCCTTTTGTTGTTGGTTTTTCGTACAATATCTAGGGGTATTTTTTGCGTAAATTTAAATTTTCAATTCAGGCGCGCACTTATTTCTATTTTCTTCTGAGGATATCGGTGTCTGCGCGTGTTTCTGAATTTGATTTCGATCAAATATTTTTGGTAGATTTTTCGCATTCTCTGGCTGGCTGGCTGACTCTCTAGGTTCTTGTCTATTTATCTTTCTTTATTGAAATTTAAGCAATGAGCGGCATTCGCATTTGCATTGTGCATTGTTTTTATTTATTTTTTTTTTTATTTTTTATATTGCTTCCTATTTTTGACCCGCAATTTGTTGTTGCTGTCGCTCTGTTGCCGAGCTGTTATAAATAGCAGAGAGCAAAGAGAGCGTGCTATTAAGAGCGGGATTTTAGAATCGGGAGAGAGAAACTGAGAGCAACAACAAAAAAACGTCAAATGCCGACGTCATGTGAGCTCCAACGTCCACACACACACGCACGCACGTATCGTTGTGTTCGTGCCAGTGACGTTCCGTTTCGTTTAAAATTCGTTTTGTTTTGCTTCGCTTTGTTTCAATTATTTTGGTTTTGCTTGATTACTGCTTACAGTGAATATCGGTTAAGGCGCATTGCAGCGCAGTTCTGTGTATAAATAGATATGTATTCTAAGAGTTGAAATTGAAATCATTCTACCAAGTTCCTAGATTTAAAACACAGAAAACAAAAACGGGAAAAAGAAGGAATTCAGATCACAAAAGTGGGTTTTAAAAGTGTTTGTACGACAAAAAATGTGTTTAATGCTCGGTTCCTCAATGCCAAATTAAGATTAGCCAATAACTTCAGTTTTTTGGATCAAAAAAAAAAAAAAAAAAAAAGATCAACAATAATGCTATTATAATTATTTATTTAAAATTTAGGTATGTGCATAAGTATGGCTAGAACATGTTGGTTCTGGTTATTATCTGAAACGTCAAAAAATAAAATTACCTTGATAAAATGACAGCTGATTTCATAAAACTCAGATAAAGAAAATTCATCACAGCTGTTTTGAATAAATTAATCAAAGCAACCCCTAATGCTGAACAGCACTCTTTATTCTTTATCGTTCAGAAGAATCACAGGCGCACCAATTTGCTTCTTTTTGTGGGTCACCTAAAAAAGCTTTGACCCAAACAACACCCCCGCACACCGGCACACAAATGATGTTTCATGCTCGTTCAGTTTTATAAAGTTTTATTCAATTTCATTTCGTTGGTGTGCCCTTTTTTTTCGTAAATGAATCACATTTAACATGTATGGGGGAGGGTGCATAAGAAACAATCTACATAAATGTGTAAATATGTACATACATATATATATGTACATCCGGTCCCGGCAATAAAACAACAAGTGTTTGTGGAATCTCAATACTCGGTATCCAGCAATAATTGCATGTATGTATGTAGATACATAGATACTTTTATCGAATTGTAACTACAAAATAGAATTTTAATTGGTAATCAACTGCATTTTAGCATACCAGGTTCTTTTTGGAAACTTCATAATTCGTAATTATTAATAATAATTGGAGCTTAGGGCTGTGATTCTATAAAACAAAATCTAAGATAAGTTTTTTTTTACAACAAAGAAAAAATTACCACTTTTGTTTTTTTTTTTTTCCAAAATTAAGGACAATTGTTTTTGCCTTTGTTTAGGTATTTTATTTGAATTTAAAGATTAAATTTGCATTAAAAACCATGTCGAATTTGCCTTAATATTGTTTGCGAATATTTTTACACGTTTGCACATATAATTCCCAACTGGTTTTAACATCTCTGAAATGAAGTGACGGTTGCCGTCCTTAAGTATGGACAGTGGCGATCAGTTACATGTTTGTGCTATTACACTGTGCTTTTAAATATGTGCTACATATTAAATAGGTGCTTTATTAATATTTACTTACTGTAAAAGTAACTACATTTTGTCTTAAATCAGTAAAAATTGTCCTTAAATTTAGAAAAACTTGCCCGAAAACTAAGAAATTTTTTCTAAATGCAAAAAAGTATTGGGTATTGGGTCGAATCATTCTATTTATCTTTCTCTTCCTGTAAGAGTTATGCACAATACAATGTATTTAGTACTCTTATACATATTTTCGTTTTGTGTCATTCCGCTCTGTTCTAATTTATCGCAATTTGCTAATTTGCAATAACAATTTTTCATTTGCACTTTGCTCCGAAAATAGAACACTGTTGCATTTTGACAAGCAACCAATGTGTGCTGTGGGTGCGCGAATGAGATGTTGCAGTTTTATGTTGAGATGCTTAAATGACTGTGACTTTTTTTTTGTTGTTGTTGTTATTGTTGTGGCTGGTATTTTCGTCACTGTTGATGCAATTTTTGTTGCTATTACTATATTGCTGTGCTCAATTGACGACAGTGTTCCACTTTTTGTGCGAGCGCGTCCTTGACCCAGAAGTGATGTACAATAACTTTTGCGCACACCACCCAACCATCCTACCTCCCTCCCCGCGCCATCTGTTTGTCTAGTCGGCTCTCCTCCTTTTGCTGTTTCTCCTCCTTGCCTTTCCTTTGCACCCATCAACAGCTAATGAAATCTATGTTAAGGTCAGCGCCAGACGTTGCCGATCCTAGAAAACTGTTAAAATGCTGTTTACTAACAGGTGCAGGCGACAAAAATGTCCATTCTATTTTAGAAATGAGTCCGGGATGTAAGTCTTGAAAAAGTTATAGTGAAGATTTTGCAGTTGGTTTTTTATTACAAATAGATTTTTTTTTAAAGAATATTTTCCAAGCTTAAATATTAAAAAAAAAGTACTATTTATATTCTTAAAATTTCGTAAGTCTTGACTATTTTCAAAAATGTTTTTGGGACCAGTAGGCCGCCTGCCGGTCTGTCATCTCTATTTGTTATTTCAATTATTAATTAATTAGTTTATTTTCGTTGGTTGTGCAGCAATTGTGTGTATGTGTGTGTGTGTGTGTTTGCTGTTACGTTTGACGTTCTTTTTCTTTATTATTGTTATTATTTTTGTTTGTAATTTTTATTGCCAGCAAAAGCTTTAGTTTTAATTACACTTACACTTAGACTTTTGTAAATTGTGGATTGGATTCGAGGTCGACGAGAGAGTGAGTGTTGAGAGTGGATTGTGGAGTGAATTCCACATATTCATCTTCCTAAGGCTCGTCGTCCCATTGACTCTTTCAGGTTTATTAATGAATCTTAATATTGGAAAAATGCAAATGTTTTTTTTCTTTAATTTTCCTGCTATTGAAAACAGCTGATTTTTTCTATTTCACTTTTCTAATATTTTTGAATTCATTTCTTTCTTTCCAGACTGCTACAAAGGAACAACAACAAAACAACAACAGCAACAACTATAACAACAACAAGCTAGAAACAACAAGGAGAAAAGAACGGAAGACTAGAAAATAATTGTAATACACACAAGAATTAGTTATCATTAAACATAAAAAGAAAAAACCATCAAGAAGAAAATAGTGACACAAAACACACAGCAACTAAAACTAACTGAAAAAAAAGAATATTTCAAAAGATTAGTCGAAAAAATAAAAGTATTTTTGGCATCAAAAGTAAAACAAAAGCATAAGTGAAAACGATTAGGAAAAACACACATACGACACACAACCAAAACAAAAAACATTTGTTAAAACTTAACAAAAAGAATCACTTTTAGCCTTATATACAACAAAAAAGAAAAATAAGAAGAAAAAACCAACAAATCAATATAGTATTAAGCTTAGTTGGTACAAGAAACCCGAAGAATACAGAAGATAATTTGAGCAAGTAATATTTAAATATGGCCACTATGTAAGTTGCCCAAAGACTTCAGACCCAGACCCATATATACACCACACAATATATATATATATATGAAATTATATATATAACTGCAAACACACATACACACACGCAAGAAAACACTCTATATATACCAAAAACTTTGATAACAGCGCTTGCATTAAAATCTATCATCTGCCTAAAACAATATATATAAACCACTCCAGCAGAGAAGCGCTTCTTCGCCATCAACAAAATTCGGCAATACCAAAAGATTGGCGTAAGAAGGGGGCCGAGGCAAAGAAAGATATTGAAATTGTTAAGAAAATAGGACTTGAGGGCAAGCTACAAACTCCTCCATCGTCAGTACCTGAAACTGTATTATTTGGCTTGAAGAAGAAGCCAACGGAAAACAGCCTGCCGGAGAAATCAGTCCTTCAAAAAAATATTGCCGGGCAGGCAACTCCAGAGTTAGGAACTTTAAAACAGGCCAGAATATATCAGAAGGAAGACCACGTTACTTGCGGAAAAGGTAAATATAATTCACCCTTATTTATGTTGCAAATAAAATAAAAATGTTATTCCTTTTTTCAGATCTAAAAGAAAACAAAGAAAGAACAAAGCAAGGGGTACAGTTTTCGGGCAAAAAACAACAAATACAAAATTCTAAAGGTAAGAGCAAAGCTCTTTTATTTGATATTAAGAAAACTAATGGAATTTTATTTAGTTGCAGACGATCTCAAGCTATCTAGTGACAAGAATTCACTGCACCGAAAGAGACAATTAAAGTTGCAGGAGAAACGCGCACAGCAGCAGCTACAGCAACAGCTACAAAAGCTAAAACAGCAGCGGCAGCACTTAATACAACATCAGCAGCGGCTGCAACAGCTACCACAGCTGCAACAGCAACAGCAGCAACAGCTAAAGCTACAACAGCTGCAAAAGCAGCAAAAAAGACGGCTACAACAGCAGCAACGGTGGCAACAGCTACAACTGCAGCTGCAGTGGTATAAACAGCCACAGAAACTGCAACAGTTACAACAACAGGTACAACAACTACACCAGCAGCAGCTCCACCAACTCATACAGCAGCAGCTACAAAAACTGCAACAACAAGTGCTACAACAACTGCAACAGGTGCAGCTACAGCAGCAACTACAGCAGCAGCTACAAGAACTGCATCAACAACTGCAACAGCGGCAGCAACAGTTACAGCAGGAACAAAAGCAAAAAGAACTGCAACTGCTGCAAAAGCAAAAAAGTCACCAATTATATATAAGAAAGCAACACCTACAACACCGTCTAATACTACAAAAAACGTATAACGAACGGCATAACATAATCCAACAGCTACAGCAAGATCAACAGCAATACAAACAGCAAGTGCTACAGCAACACCAACAGGAACAATTGGATCTACAACAGCATTACCAACAGGAACAGCAAAAGCTACAACAGCTATTTTTCCAACAACAACAACAACAACAACAACACGTACGAGGCCTATATAGTTCGACAAGAGGCGGCTTACAAGCAAACAATTATCAAGGTAAGAAGAAGTAAGAAGTTTTTCAACAATATAAACTTGTTGTAGAACAATCAGAAGCAAAATCAAATAAGGAAAATTACAACAATCATAATAAACTAAAATTTTGACGTTAAGAGATATGTTTTTGAATAACTTTGTCGGTTAAAAAAAAAATAAAAAATGTATAACAATACAAAAAAACTTTGCTCATGGAAACGGTAGTTGTGATCAGAGCCCTATCGATAAATATCGTTAAAAAAATGATGAATAGTTGTCGAAAACCAAATTAATTTGGAATTTATATTTTCTGCAGATCAAGAGAGTTTTGTGCATCAAAGAGCATTCAAAGAAAAAAGTTTAGCGGGAAAACGAAAACAAATATTAAATTTTACAAGTAAGGCAGGAAATATTTAATGCACCGATAACTATTGCTTAAAAATGTAAATTGCCTGCAGATCAGGAGGTTATTGTGGGATCTTCAAGCGAGAGCAAGAATAATAATTCGACCAAACATTCAAACCCAGTCGTTCGGAAGCAAGAACAGAATCAGAAATGCAAACAAATATCAAAGTTTAAGAGTAAGGCAGGAGAAATTAAATGTATTTATGTTTACCGTATTAATAATATCTAATATTTTGCCCGAAGGCAAGTTATCTGGACATCTGCAACAGTTACGGAAAAAGCTACCGGCAGGAATCTCTCGAAATTTGAGTGCCGAAACAAAAAAAAAAGTACTTCTACGGTTGGAAAGGAAAGCTGATAATATAGAAAATCTACTGCTTCATACCGCGATATCGATATTAAAAAAAAGGGACCTACAATTGGCAAAACTTCGACAACAAATACCAATACCTACACCAACACCAATAACTACACCAAGGTCAATAACTACTTTCTTATCTACACCAAGGCCTCCCACGTTAATACCTACACCAACACCCACAACTACACCAACGCCAACACCAATACCTACTCCAACAACTGCACCAACACCACAACAAAGACCAATAACTACACCAACGCCATCAATTAGCATCGAAGAAGGCCGTAGACTGCATAATATTCGAATCCAGCTATTGCTTGACGTCAAAGTAAGGGAAGACCAGGCGATAGACGAGCGTGAAAATCTTCTAAAGAAATCGCTGGGAAAGCAGTCCAAGTCCCGAATTCAGGAATCCGATACCAAGCAGCAAGTTCGCGTCCACGAGGAGTGCTTACGCGCCCAGCAAAAAGAGGCCGAGGAGATCCGTTTGCGGAGATTACAAAATCCAAATTATCAGCCCCCGACAAAAAAGGAAATTCAGCTTCAAAAACGACTAGTTCGCCAGCAGCAAGAGTACCTCAAGTATCAGCAGTTCCCGCCGGGACCCAGGCACCCTCTGTGCCAGCAAAAGATGATGCATAACGAAATGGTGAGCTTACCGGTTGGAAATTTAAACGGCGGCTTAAAGGCCACCAGCACTGGATCCGGAGTGGGCACCAGCAGTGTCGTCTCCTCGGCGGTGCTGGCCAATGCTCCACGAGTTTACCTAACGCCCACTGCTACATTTATGGCCAATCGCCAAGCGGCGGCGGCGGCAGCAGCAGCGGCAGCGGCCGCACAAGTAACTGGAAAGATTGGAGGCGCCACTATAGTCGGTGTGGGTTCTGCTACCTCATCCAGTGCAGCGACAGTTGCCTCCTCCGGCACAGTTCGTTATTTTTCGCAATTTAGCAAACTGCAAACGACCGGTGGCAACGGGGCACCACCATCACCCACCGTGCAAAAGAAATTGGTCAATGGGGATACCATTGTGCTGTCCAATGGCACCAAAAGCCGAATCTTGACCAGCAACAGTAGCAGCAGCAGCGGAGTTGTTACAACAGCAACAGCAGCAACAAGATCAGCAGCTGCAGTTGTAGCTTCCACGAATGGCGGCATCAGCGGGAACCGTTGCCTCATAACGAACAAAATGGAGCCACTTGTGTTGAATGAACCTGTGATCAAGAACAACGATGATGATGATGATGCCGTAGAGAAGGAGCCTGAGGCGGCCAGCATCCTGCAGGAACAGCCGCTGGAGCTGGTGGCGGGCAATTCATCCGATGGCGATGAGCCGGAACTGGACATAACCATCAATAATGTAGTCTGCTCGTTCAGTGTTCGCTGTCACTTGAAGCTGCGCGAAATTGCCTTGAATGGCTCCAATGTGGAGTATCGACGGGAGAATGGGATGGTGACGATGAAGCTGCGACATCCATATACCACGGCCTCGATTTGGTCTTCCGGCAGGATAACGTGTACGGGCGCCACCTCTGAACCAATGGTAAAGTTTATTATTATTGATTTATTTACAATTAATATTGAAATTTCATTATTCCTTCCAGGCCAAGGTCGCTGCCCGTCGCTATGCCCGATGTTTGGGCAAATTGGGCTTCCCAACTCGTTTCCAAAACTTTCGCATCGTTAACGTTTTGGGCACCTGCAGCATGCCCTGGGCAATCAAGATTGTTAACTTTTCGGAACGGCATCGGGCTAATGCCAGCTATGAGCCGGAGCTGCATCCGGGAGTCACATACAAAATGATTGAACCTAAGGCCACCCTCAAGATCTTCTCAACGGGGAGCATAACCGTGACAGGTAAGTTGAAATATTTGTTAGCAGTTAAGAAAAGATGCTTAATTATGTATCTTTCTCTCTCTCTCCCCAGCGGCCAGTGTAAATGATGTGGAATCAGCGATTCAACACATTTATCCGCTGGTCTATGAGTTCCGCAAACAACGTTCACCCGAGGAGCTGCAGCATTTGCGGCAAAAGCAACGTCGTCTCACCGGCGGCGTTGATCCCAATGAACTGGAAGAGATTATCGCTTCGGAGAATAAGGCGGCGGCCGTTAATGATATATTTGTGAATACAACGACTGCCCATACGACCAAGACGACGACTGATGGTACGGATCAAGTCAATACCATAGCCACTGCCGCTGGCACCTCCTCGATTAATACTGTTCAGCGGTCGAAGCAATTGGAGAGCTACCGCAATATGATGCAGCAGACGCAGGAGGAGCGACGCCATATACCGTTCCACGGTAGCACTACCACCGCCACTGCCTTGAATGCTAGCAAACCCTCAACCTCTGCTGCTGCTACTGCTACTGCATCATCTTCGTCGTCGTCATCGACGACAGACAATATTTGTGCCAGTGCCCGTCGAAGGGCCACCGAATGCTGGGCCACCAAGCTTCAGAATAAGCGGCCGCGATACAATGCAGCTTCAACTGCATCCACTAATAATTCCTTCTCCAACGTTGCCTCCACATCAGCCCAAGCTCAAGCCCAAAGCCAAGCCCAAGCCCAAACCCACCTGCGAAATCCACTTAAGACAGCCGCCCTGGCAAATGCCAGAATGCGTGGCACTGGCCAGACGCCTATGAATCTAGCGTTGAATCCTAGCAGCAGCTCCTCCTCCTCCTCAGTCGCCGCCGCTTCCCGTCTGGTCGCCAGCGGGAGCAGTGCCGGATTTTTGCAAGCACAACAGCGACAACAGCAGCAGCAACGACTGTTGCAGCAACAGCAGTTGCAGCAAAAACTGCTGGGGCAACAAAGGAGCTTCTCGCCCAGCGACTTTCAAGTGGATGACCTGATCGAGGAGGAGGAGAGCAACGAATTGGATTGTCAGTATTGATGGGGTTTTGCTGTTGTTGCTTAAGGAGCAGGCAAAACACATACACAACAAGTGCTACATTCGTTGATTTATTTGTGTGTTTGTGGATACTCTTATTATCCCTTTGTGTTTGTGTGTGTGTTGTGTTCGTTGCATTTACACAAAAACGAACGAATTGACAGCACGGAGCACAAAGTGGGAGAGTGGCTAAGACGAGATATGAAGCACCCAAAGCAAGACGAGAGGGAATTCTTCCTGGCAGGCAAGCAACAACGCAAGCAACATACACAAAACATAAGCAAACAACATCCACCAACCAAAAATATTTAATTTATAAGGTGAGATATCGCTCAAAATACTAATTATTCGTTGAGATATTGAATAAAAATCAAATACATTTTATTTATAGAAAGCAAAATATATTAAATTCCATAAATAATGATGAAACATTGAAATACCTTGCGATATATTTATATTCTTAGTTTTTCTTTATTGATCTCCCTCACTTATATTTGCATTTCTTCTTTCCCCATTTTAGGTTTACGTTTAAATAACACTGGTACTTTAAGAGAGCACACAGCAAGCAACAAAACTAGCAGAGATACATATAGTGTAGCATCGATGATATCGGACCCCTGAGAAATCGAACCCATCAACAACCTCAAAAACCAACAACCAACAACAACAACCAGAACCAGAACCAGATGATGGTATCCAGAGAGCTTACCATTAATCGTAAACTATAGCCTAACGTAAAACTGTAACTGAACGTAACAAATCGATGTTTATCCGTAAAACCATCGATAATTTCGATATTTTTTTTTCGTTATGAATACGTATTGCCAGGGTTTTACGTAACATGTAACCAAAATATTACGGATTGTTTAATGTATTTTTTTTTTTTTTTTGTATATTTTTTTTCCTCTTTTTTAATTTTTTTTCTATGGTATAAATAGTTAATTTATGTGAGCAGAAAAACCACCGCCTAATGAGAAATACTGTAATGGAAATCATAGCATAAACCAAGCTCAAGCTTGTGCAAGTTTGTTTGAATTTTGGATTCAAACCAAGAAAGTTCTTCCCCCAAAAAACAACAAAACCAAAATTCTCAAGCAAAAATAATAATTATTATCAGGAGACTGGAGGAGCAAATGTAGAATAATAACCGAATAATATTACAAATTAAATAATTAGTTTTTTTTTTTTTTTGATTTGTTCACTTTAAGTTATAATATAATACACACACACACCTATATCTGGTCACATTTAAACCAATAACAACAAATACAACAACAGCAACTAATTATGTCATAATTTATGCTTACTACATACATACATTTATACTTTATACATTGCAACAAAGAAAAATTGAAGGCAAACAAGAGAGAAGATTTATAATCACTAAACATTAAGCGAAAAGGACGAAATAGATGGAGAGTTTGGCATCGATAACGATAACAAATGCGAATGACTAGGCAAAGGAAAAACAAAAACTAAATTCTAAGTGCTTATTCTTAATACACAAGCAAGTTAATTCGTAACCCAATACTATTATCAGATATATACAAACACATATTTAAGTATATGTATCCTTTTTTCTTTTTTTTTTTTTAATTTTGCTGTAAAATTAAATATTTAAAAAACTAGAATGAGAAAAGAACTTAAGCTTAGATTTACAAACTTGTTCCTGTGTTGTTGTTAAAGAAAAAGAATTGTAAAATATACATACAGTACATATTTTTTTAGTTAATTTAACGAAGCAAACCATATGCATACACACACACCCACACACACAACACAAACTTACATACATATGTACATACATACATAATATTAAGGCATTACGTCGTACATCAGAAACAAACAAGCAATAAAATCGAAAGAGATGAATGGAAGAAAGCGTTAAAACCCAAATTTCTGTCTGTGTGTGTAAAAAATAAAAAATAAATCGCAATTCTTTGGCGTGCCTTCTTCACACTTAAAGAAAATAAAAAACAAAATATATAGCCAATTGTACAATCATTGAAATAGTACTTCCAAACAAAATCCAAATCCCTTTTAAGAAACACACACACACACACACACACACAACACACGCCTGCAAATGTTATTTAAATGCATAAATGTGCATCAAATTAATGTTTTCCAAACTTATAACGTTAATTGCCTCACACACACACACACTCATATACATAATAACAAAATATTTCTAGTTTCTTTTGTGCTAAAACGTAAAAACAAAACAACTTTCATATCGTTCAAAACTTATGCATAATCAAAAATAGAAAAGAGAAATATGTAAGGAAAATATATCAAACTCTTTTTTTTTTGTGTATTTTTTATGATTTGCAAAGAAAAACCCCAAAAAGAAAATCTAGGAATGTAAAAAAAACTTGAAAATGCCTTTAGGGATCAAATATGTAATGTCAAGTGGAAAGTATGAGAAAGAGACACGACCAGAAAGAGATAGAAAGAGAGAAAGAGAGAGAGAAGGAGCAAGTGCCGAAATGTATTTTTTGTGTATGGGAATGTGTATGTAATGTGAAAGGACGAAAAGGAAGAGAGGACGTGTTGAAAACATCTTGATATGCATCATTAAGTAGCAACTGAGAGCCTAAGCCTTATATTTAAGACAACAAGAAACAAAAACAAAACAACAAAAAAAACAACAACAAATTCAATGCAGAATACTAATTTGTAAGCCAAAATGCATAATTAGCAATCTAAAGATACAACAAATCTGACAAAAACATGCTTACTAAAAAGCTTAAACTACAAAATGATTGAATAATTGATTGTACATAACTGTTAAAAAAAAAAATTACAACAAAAATACAAAAAGCAAGCAAAGGAGAAACCAACAAATACAACTCTATAAGCATTACAATTTATACAACTGGGAATGATATATGTATTTGAGATCCCTCTCAAGTCTAACTGCCTTCAAAGAAAGTAAAAGAAAACAATTTAAAATACAAAACGTACATACATACACTTTGAGTAATTATTAACAAATTTATGTATATGTATATGTATTGTATGTATTGGGGACAAGAGGAAAGATACAAAAATGCTTAGCAGATGAAGGATGTACGATTGTAAATTGCTTGATGAATTTAATCCCCAACTTTCAACAACAATTTTTTTTGTTCAACACCAACACACAACATCAACAACAGACAGACAGACAGAAGGGCCTAACTAAATAAGTGTATTTGGTTTCATAAACTTTAAAAAAGCAAAAACTAAATATTAATAATTATATATGTACGTAGTATACAGATATATTTTTGATTATTATGTATTTAATGACAATGAGAACAATGAAAAATGATGCAAATGATACATATAAACTATGAAAACAAATATTAAGAAATCAAATAGCATAATTCTGTTTTTTGTTTTGCCGTAAAGACTGCATTATACCAACAATTAATTATATATACAAAGCATAATAACTAACATAATTCAATAACTGATAGAGATGGCAAGTAAGCGTGACATTAAGTGCAGAAAGGATGAATGAATAAACATTGAATCAACCACAAAACAAAACAAAACAAAACATAAAAAAATACGAAAAAGAAAGAAAAAAACATACAAAAAACTGAAGAAACATTTATTTATTAGTAACTAAGATTCAGAGAGAGCGAGATCGAGATCGAGATCGAGTCAAGCCACGCGCAGACCTTAAAGGTCGGCCCAGAAAAGAAGCCCCATTTACGAAAAGCAAGATGAAATTACCTTTTACCAAAACGTGCTACTAATTCGGAGGGAAGTTTTTGCAACAATAAGCATCGGATCGCGAATCGGATTAATTAGGACTAGCTACCGTATGGATAAATCAATTACCGACACTTGTACGATTAAGATTTATGGTACACGCCCCCCTCTTCTAATCCCTGAAACTAGTTTTGTAAGTTTCGTAAACTAAAGAAAAGTTAGATTTATATACGAAAAAAAGATATATATATGACATATGTATATACTATAAAGAGAGAATCGGAGAGTTGAGAGATAGATATATACTTACACTTGGTTCGTCGTGCTCTTTGTTTGCCGCCAACACTTTACAGTCCCTAAGGCCAAGTCAAAATCTACGTATATTTTTTTGAAATCTATGCAAAAGGCCAACTAAAAGAACCTAAATGTAAAGATTTCGAAACCTTTCGTTGGTTTTCCTTGGGCTTGCTATACAACAGCAACAACAAAACTAAACGAAAATAACTCATTTTGATTGTACATTTAGTTTAAAAGTCTAGACTCTAGTTTGGAGTTTCGCATTCAAAGACCTGGGCGAGATAAGAATGTTTAATAAAATGTTGAGCCTAAGCTAAAGAACTCGCAACAACTGCCTCTTCTTTTAAGCTGACAGCCAACACTCACAAGTAACACATGCGAAAGCAAAAAACAAAGAAATCAACCAACCAAATGAAAGCAAATTGTTTGAATAAAAATCAAATTACAAATGAAAAAACAAACTAAGTGCATTTTTAAATAGTTCTCAGGGTGGTTTATGGTTTTTTTCTAACAACTACTATAATTATTCTTATGTTACTAAAGAAAATATTGTAGATTTCAGAGTTAGATTGCCACAGTTAAAAATGTATTGTTCAGCAATTTGATATCATACCGATATATTTATCGATTGATGTATTGAACATTTTAATTTGAATTTTCCAAAAGAGCCCAAATATAGTTCAAACCAGGAAAGACCGATCCTGTATCGATATTTGTCGTTGCGATATATTTTTATATATTAATTATATATCATAAATCGATATAATAACGATAAATTGAATTTTAATTTGAAATTTTCCAAAAGAGCCCAAATATTAATTTGCCCGAAAATATTGATATATTGATCCTGTATCGATATTTGATGTTGTTTTATATAAAACCCGAATCAAAAAGTTCAATTTTAATGTTTATTTTATAGTCAGAAGGCTCTAAAGTGCGTTTCCCTACGTGAGAAACGGCCATGGAACTACATAGATTGTCATTCTTATAGTAAAAGTAAGAAAATAAATCAGTTTTTTGTTTTTTTTTAATTTTAATAGATTTTCAAGAATCTTTTTGTTCTTTTTTTTTTAAGTTGTGACCAAAACAAAGAATATTCTATCGAAGCTTAAAGCCTGCAAGGCAAATTATTTAATTTCCCTTTAGAAACTTCATTATTATTATTGCTGTAAGGAATTCACATTCACCCTCTCTGCCAATATGATTACTTCGCAGTTGGTTTTAATTATTGCTCGACGCTTTATTTTACAGTTGTTGTTTTTTGGCGATTTGTGTAAATGCAGCTTAATCATAGAACTATGATGATGTTTGGATGCTGGGATGAGGCTTTAAAATTAGTCAACTTTTTTGTAGAGCATTTCTTAGGGAAACTAACGAACTAACGAACCGAAAAGAAGGGAGTAGGTGTAGTCCAGGTAGAAGAAAAATATATATATAAAACCAGGGAACCAGGTTACTGGCTAAACTTCACGCCAATATTGTTCACACGCGACTGCATGTGCTGGAGCACGTCCTGCGAGAAGTCCTCGATGGTGGTGAAGCGACTCTTCTGGAAGCTAAAGATGTCGGCCAGAAAGGCGAGCAACTGCTCCCGGAAATAGTGGCAAATCTCACGCAGGTTCTCGTTGGGCCCAAAGAAGCCCCAGGCCATCAGCGGCGATATCTGTTCGGATATCACGTAGAAGTGCGACATAAAGCCGTTGGGGAACTTGAGCATCCGCTTCTTTGCCTTCAGCACCGACCACACCGCCGTGGTAAGAGCCTGAAAGTACAGAGAGCCCAGTGAGTACACGGGTAGGAGAGACTAGCGTGCGTCACTCACCGTCTCTTTGAATCCATTGGACAGCCAGCGGTTCTGCACCACCGCCGTAACACTGGCCGGCGGGGCATCCAGATCCTTGAATGAATCCAAGATAATAAAGTCCAGACAAATGTCGTAGAAGGTCATCGCCTTGACATTGCGCTGTTCCAGCTCCAGCTGTATGCACGGCCAGTTGTTGCTGTCGCGCAGGAAGTTCACCATGTCCTCATAGCCGACCAGGAACTCTTTGGTGTCCTTGTCGCCGAGACACAGCAGATCGGTGAGTATCTGTCGGCCAGCATCGCAGATCCATTGACCGACAGCCGGATCCTTGAACAGAAACTGGAAGGCCAAGCGGACGCAATGCAGCTTGGCCAGATACTCGGTATCGCTGCTGCAGTGCATCAATTCCGCTCGAATGGTGCGACACGGCACTGTGTACTCGTCATGGTGTTTCAGGGCCGTCTGGAACAGTGGATACTCCTCGTACGAGGTCTCGATGAAGCCATCGAACTCCCGCAGATCCGCCACTTGGTCGAGAGCCGAGGCGAAGCTCTCCGCTGAATCGAAATTCGGATCGGAGCCAGCGCGGCTGAGGATACTGCCCGATTTGCGCGACCGATGGTCATCGTCCGCCTCGCCCGTCTCCTCGGCCTCGTCTATAGAATGCTCCTCGCGGAACAGCACCGAACGCTGGTCGAGGAAGAGCAGCTCGCTCTGCTCCTGCAGCGTGTACGCCATCTCCAGCAGATTCTGGATTTCCCGGCAGAACTCCGAGTCCTCTGCCGTTGTCAACAGGGCGGGCACTCCGCCGGGCGAATAGTGCGCCGCCAGGGCATCCTCCCAGAAATTGATTACTGTATCCAACGCTTCCATGCCCATCATTCCCAGCTGTTGGGCTGTAAGCTGCGTCACCATCGTTCCCCCGCCGGGAACCCCAGCATTCTGTCCACCGCCGCCGCCGCCACCAAGAAGGCTGTTGCCCAGCACACCAACTCCAATTGATCCTGAGGCCATGGACAGGCGATCGGAGTAGGCAATTGTGGAGCCAACGGGACTGCCCGATCTCGCCGAGGCCTTGGACCCGGCTATGGATATCAGGTCATTGGGACTTCGCATGCTGTTGCGGTTTCGACGGCCCGTGTATTTCCTCGCCCGGCGAGGCGGACGCGGCGGCTTGCGTCGTCTTAGAAATCGGGATAAAACTCCCATAAGAGCCACGCCGGCCGTCAGCGAGAATATGACAACCTGGTGGGGATTTAGAGATTAGAGCACATATATAGCCATTAAGATCGAAGTGCACACAGTGCACTTGGCACTTTGCCTCTAGTGCTTAGGACGACGTACGTTCAGAGTAATGGGAAAAATCCATTAGTGTCAGGTGGGATCAAGTGTTTTGAACGAATAACTAACTCACCTTTGTGGTGGTGGAGACGCGAAAGGGCAGCAAGTGGCCCCCGTTGGTCCAGGTCGCTGGCATGAGGCGCTGCATCCTCAAAAGCTCGTCTTATCGGTTTTTTGTTTTTGTTTTTGTTTTTTTTTTTTTTGAACACTCGACGGGGCTTTTCTTTTTTGGGGGAATGGAAATGTGAAAATGGAAGTGTGGGCGGAAATCAATTTGTGCCGCCAGTCCGATTTGTGCGATTCATCGGCGCTTGGCGTTGTTATCTCTTGGTCCAGTTACTGTATTCCCGGGTCAACTTCAGCCCTGCTCCATGTGCGCGGCCGTTTCGTGGTCGTGATTTCTGGCACAACACGCAGCGGATGCGGGTTGTGGGCACTGGTGGTCAGAGCGTTGGGCAGTTTTTGGAATTCGTGTTGGCTTATCAGTGAAAACTTTCACTTTTTAGGCCTGAAAAACAACAAAATTGCATCACAACGCTTTGGGGAGAGCGCGCGGCGGCGGCAAAAAGGTGCAATCAGCTGTTATTCGTGGCGTTGCCGTACAGAGAAAACCCACCGAGAGTGCTGCCAGACAGCCGGTGTGTGGGGTGAAGAAAAGCCGGTGGAGCTTATTGCACTTTTTCCAGTACCTTAAAAATAATTTAGTTGCATAAATTAATTTGTAAACGATTTTTGTGATTTAAACAAAACGGTAAAAAATGTAACAGTATTAATTGCACAATGTTGGAAATATGTTTGTGGAAATAAAGAACTAATGACAACATTTTCAATGATATATACATTAAAATATATATTTTTTTAGTCTTAAAATGTCTTTTTTTTTATTTACGAAAGTCTTAATTATTAATTACAAGTAAAAATAATTTTTTAAATATTTAAATAACAAAAAACCCACTTATTCCGCTCAATACCGGTAGTGACTGCATGCCAATCAGTTACTCAGTGCGTTCACCAGCACCATCAAACCCTAAAAAAATATTATTGAGTAGATATTTAGGCTATCAAACTTTAAATCACTAATTAAGATCTAGCTTTATATGGCATAAAATTAAATTTAATTAAATATAAGCCCACTAGTCACTAAATTAAATGTGCTGGTAAACGCGCCCTCTTTTTTCCCTCACTCCAGGTACGAAATGCAACGGGCGATCGCGCATCTCTGACAGAGTTGCACAGCGCTATCGATAAATGATTGATTATTGCAAATCGAAGAGCGGGAAAGGGGAAACTTGCTAATTTAAACGAATTAAAACTAAATCAATTATGACATTTACGTTTTTGAGGCTAAGCCAATTCGATAACATGGCCGCGATGACGTCACGCTCCGCTGACAACAACAACAACAACATACTGTCCAAGCACTTTGAACCGGCAAGAACCGCAAATACTCGCGAAAGTCTCTCGAAATATTTTGGCATTATTAAAATTTCTGTATTTTGGCATTGGTGCGGGCCAAAATATACAATATAATATATTCCACTTTTGAAACACACGCACGCGGCAGAGAAAAAGAGAACGGGAGCGGTGCCAGAGTGGCAAAAGAAAAAGCAACAAAAACAAAGCGAGAGATTCAAGCTTACAGTGAGGGCTCTATAAAGCGAATTGCAAATTGTAAGTGCAACAAGTGTACGAATTTTTTAGTTTTAATATATTTTAAGTTAATATATTTTAAGTTTTGCGATTTAGCTTTGGAATTTATTATACATATTTATTTTTAAGCTTTAATAAATTATTATTTATTATTTAAATTATGTAAAAATTCAGTTCATTTTATTCATTTATTATTCATATATTTTCTTATAAAAAAAAACGAAATATTTTTCTTATTTTTTCCCATCAGCTGGGCTTATTTTGATCTTTCGCAGATCAACTGAATCAAGCAGCCACTGTGGTTGGATATGAGCCGCTGCCGCCTGGCATTGTTATTTTATTTTGTTATTAGTTCAGCGACGCCGCCACTCATCATCAGCCGTCACCCGTAAACGATGTCCGAAGATGCCAAGAGTGAGTGCATAATGGATCGCAAAAATTGGATAAATCATAATTCATAATAACGCCCCAGGTCCTGGACCACGCACCCGGAACATCATTGAGAACCAGCTGTTCCGCCGGCAGCGCAGCCTTAAATTGGAAGCACTGCAGCGCCAACGGACCTTGGATTCTGGCGACGGCGTTGAGGGATTGGGTCCGGATTCGGAACCCTTCGACAAGGTCAGTTGTAGTCTCTCCCCCCCCCCATCAAGGTGACTTGGACATAATGATCTTTCCCTCACAGACGCACATTGTGATTATTTTCACGGCCAAGGCTAAGCTGCGACACTGTCAGGATGTGGAGAAGATTATCCAGGAGTTTGGCATCCAGACCACCCTGGAGATTGTGGGGTAAGTGATAAATAATATAAATATTCCTATATTTAATTGGAAATATGTTTTTTTTTTATTAGGAAAACTGAAAAGTACCTGTATCTGTCGGCCAGCGTGGATACCTTGCTGCGTCTGGCCGATGCAGCCGAGCTGGAGAAGATGACCACCACCAACAGCATGCAAAAGTTCAACTACGGCTGTATCTCGGATTTCCTGCTGCCGGGCATGAGCAAGGATCAGATCCTGCGCTACTGTGAGATCCCAGTGCTAATCAAGGATGTCATTCAGGATGGCATCAAGTCGTACCTTCAGAAGGGTTACATTGAAGATATGTTTCCCCTCCACGATATTGTGGGTTTACTTCTTTTGTTCTGCGAGTTTTTGCTTTTAATTAATTTATTTTGTTTTTTATTTGAATTAGTTGTATCTCACACGCTTCAATTGGAACCTGAAGCGCACCAAGCTGCCCATCGAGGACATCCGCAATTACTTTGGCTCGAGCATTGGGCTCTATTTCGGCTTCATTGAGTTCTATACGAAGGCCTTGATATTCCCCGCTGTATTTGGACTGCTCCAGGTGCTGTTCGACCTGAATATATCGCTGGTGTGCAGCTTCTATGTGATCTGGACAACGGTGAGTATGCACATACATATTCTGGGTTAATTAATTGTTTGAATCAAAAAAGTAAAAGCAATGTGGCTAACAGAATATTACAGTTTATAAATTGGTGAAATTGTTTACCCCACGAGATGACTAAATATAGCAACGTTTTAAGTGCTTTTTAGTGCTTTCAACTTAATGGAGATAATAAAAACTACATACATTCATTTGTTGTTGGGCAAGTAGAGACAATTGTAAAATTCATAGAAACAAAAATTATTAAAATAAAATAAATATTAGGAAAGAACCAACGGGAAAAAAGAATACCTATTTCGATTTAAGAAAGAATTAGCTTCGAATGTTAAATATTTTTCTTAGACTTGTTAGTTTACTTAGTTTTAGTAACAGGAAAATATTCTTAAAAAAATTAATAGTAATAATAATTAATTAATTAATAAATATTAATTAATTAATTAATATTTATTAATTAATTAATTATTAATTAATATTTATTAATTAATTATGATAAATTAAGAAAATGTATTTTCGAATGCCTGATATTTTCTTAGAATTTTAGGTACAAAGTCTTAGTTGCAGGAAAATATATTTTTTTTTTTAATTTAGAATTTTATAATACATTTTTTAACTGATTAAGAAAATTTATAATATTTTTTATTTATTATTTTCTTAGAATTTTAGGTTACACCGTTTTGGTTGCAGGAAAAAACTCATTAAAAAATGTTTTATTTTATAGATATAATATTTAATTAATTATTTTATTCTGAAACTTATAAAGAAAATACCCAATTGATTTATAAAACAATTGTAATAATAAATATTACTTGTTTGCAGATATTTTTGGAGCTATGGAAACGCAAATGCGCCGGCTACTCGTACCGCTGGGGCACCATCGAGATGAACAGCTTGGATAAACCGCGATCCGCTTACCAGGGCCAGATGAAGCCGGATCCCATAACCGGCAAGATGACGCTACACTATCCGATGCGCTACACATACCTGCAGATGTACTGCATCTCGTATCCGGTTGTCCTCGGCTGCGTGGTGGCTGCCGGCTGCTTTGCTCTGTACCAGTTCCAAATCGAAGCCGAAGTTCTGGCCGATTTTGGCCCAGACTCCTGGCTGCTCTACATCCCGGTCATCGTTCAGTCCGTGCTAATTGCCATCTTCTCGTGGGCCTACGAGAAGCTGGCCACATTCCTCACCAACTTGGAGAACCATCGGACGCGTTCCCAGTACGATCGCCATCGGGTCAATAAGCTGATGCTTTTTGAGATCGTCAACAACTTCTTCTCGCAATTCTACATAGCGTTTGTGCTGCAGGATTTGCGCCAGCTGAAGTATCAGCTGATGATGCAACTGCTGGTATTCCAGGTGCTGTGCATTGCCCAGGAGATTGGCATACCGCTGCTGGCCGTGCTAAGGCAGAAATATGCCGAGTTCCGGCACCGTGAAGTTGCCGAGGAGAAGCTACGCTCCATTAGCGATGTGCCGCGCTACGAGCAGTCCTTCTACGAGTCCGGGCTAGATGAATACCATTCCACGTACGAGGATTACCTGCAGGTGTGCATCCAGTTTGGCTTTGTCGTCCTGTTCGCCGCCGTTGCCCCGTTTGCCGCCATTGGAGCGCTGCTCAATAATATCTTTGCCGTCCATATTGATATGTGGAAGCTGTGCAACATCTTCAAGCGTCCGTTTGCCCGCAGGGCCAAGAATATTGGAGCCTGGCAGCTGGCCTTCGAGCTGCTCTCGGTGATGGCTCTGCTGAGCAATTGCGGCCTGCTCTTCCTTCAGCCGAATGTCAAGTGAGAGGCTTAGTTACTTTAATTTTCTTATTAATTTTCTCATATTTTCCCTGTGTTTTTTTTCCTTTTTTCTAGGGACTTTTTCTCCCACTGGCTGCCCTCGGTGCCTGACCTGTCATTTGTGATCTTTGAGCATCTACTCTTGGGCCTGAAGTTTCTCATACACAAGGTGATCCATGAGCGACCACGTTGGGTGCGAATTGGTCTGCTCAAGTCGGACTATGAGACTAGCCAGGCGCTCAAGCAGCTCAAGTGGGTCTCCTAGTTGCAATCCATGAGAAGTTCCATTAATGAATCATAATTCTTTGCAGAAAATTCAAGGCGGAGGCTAACAAGATGGCCTGATGCTGGATGATGCAGGATCTCCCTCCCACTCCTTTTTTTGGTGCTAATCATACTACCAGTCCATTTATTTTATTTCAAAAGATTATTATTTATAAACATTACAACTAAGCAGTGCTTTATACGGTGAGAATGTATGCGTTATAACCGTCGGAAGGAAGTGAAGGTGTGCCTTAACCCACAACTCATTAAATAAATAATTATTTCTATGTATACTATAAAAATAAGGGTTAACAAGAAGGAAAGAGAAACACGGGGAAGCCGAAGTTTTAACACCCTGAAGACTATCAGTCAAGTTTCAAGACTGAGAGACTAGTTTGAGTAGAAAGGAAAAGAAGGACATGGCTAAATCGACTTGGCTATTATATTCTCTGCGTTCCCAACCTTCTGACTACCCTGCAAGGGTATACAAATGTGTCTCATACATGCATACCAATTATATCCTTATCCTACTACATATATCTCCATATATATGTGTCCACATCCTAGTGCTTACCACTCAGCGAGCTCCTCTGTAATGCCGGAAAGCCAGATAGGCGTCCAAGGCATGCAGAATGCCTGCCGCATAGCCCATGTACTGGAAATATTTGAAAGATTCAAACAGGAAATATACATTATTTTTCAAGTACTCACATAGCAGGCAGTCATGGCAGGATATGCCCAGAAACCAGGTCGCACCAGGAACTGCGGATGCAGCCACACCACGCACGCAAAGCCCATGTAACTCGCCGAACTGAAGTACATGCAGCTGGCCAGCCCATTGAATATAGTCTCCTTGGATAGATATAGTTTAGCCTAGATATCTTGGTCTTCCTCAGGAGTCCCTGCCTACTCACAAACATGGACTGCCGTATGAGATTGTAGGATTTATCCGAGAAGGCATAGCATATGAGCAGGATCCCGTTGGTGGTGAAGCAATGCCCTGTGGTGGCCAAAAAGCTGGTCAGCGCCTGGCCAATGGAGTCCGCATAGGGCACACCGTACTTGATTAGCAGTCCCTCGCAGAGCATGGCCAGTCCCAGCTGCATGAGCTTCAGCAGGCCAATTCGGGACATCAGAAAGCCAAAGTTAATGCAGGTGCAGACGCGGCAGCAACAGATGCGGATGCCCAGCGGTTGGCTCATTCCCCGAACTCCAAAGGCGGACAACGGCGTGGAACGGTGCATGATGATGATGATGATGTGTGTGTACTCCTGCGACCTCGGATTGCGACTGATCGTGCATCTCCGCATCTGTGTATCTCGGCTTTGTTGTCTGGTCTTTCAGTTCATGTGCGAGAAGGAGAAGAAGGAGGGTTCTATAAATAGCTCCTGGGCCACATGTGCGTGCCCTCCAAGGAGTGCGCTGGCGAGCGAGTCTCTGTGGCATTTTCAATACTGCAAATAATACAACAAATATATTTTCTACCTGCCTGCCTTTTCTTGGTTAATATGTTTTAAATAGCATAATCTAAAAATCCAAGTAGGTCTTCATGTTCTCACCCAGACAGCTGTCAGTCCCGCATCCGATTCCGGATAATGTAGGCATAAATCCAAATTCCAAGTTTTAGTAGCACAAAATTTTTACAAAATTTACCTTAAAACGCTTTTCTAGCTAAATATTTCGGATTCCCCATTACCTGTACCATTCGCGCATTTATACCTTTAACCGTAACTGCTTCTGGTTCCTAATCCTCTCCTGGTTTCCCCTCCGTATTCGCTTTAGTTTCCGCCACAAGGATGTGCTTTAATTTCAAGTTGTTTGGCGGCAGACGGCGTCGCGCCATTGCTGCCAATGGTGGCATCTCCCCGCGTCCCAGTCTGGCCAATGGGCCTCAGGTGTCCATCGACACCGTCCACACTGTCAAGTCATCCAAGTCGGCCAAATCCGTCCGGTTGGGCAAGGCGTCCGCTGGCATTCGGCCTGCAGCCGTTATTGTTGGCAAAAAGATGGGCCACAGTGCGAACCTGTTGGGATTGGAGAAGAGGCAGCATACGGCTGCTGAATCTGGCGGAGGAGCTACCAGTAGCAGCACCACAGCACCCGCAGCTATCACCGCCGTTGCCTCGGTGGGCTCCAGTGCTGGTCCCGCCGCCGTATCGGAAGTCAATGACAATGGAAACTCTATAAAACGCAGCTCCTGGTGGGGTTTCTTTGGCATGGGCAAGAAAAAGAGGAATAGCAACCAGTCAATCTAGTCCCTGAAGCCATGTGACTCCACTTGACAGGGGTTCCTCACGGAAACCGACAGGATTCGGAGCAGAAGCCGCAATCATACAAGTAGAACTTGACTCCAAGGACTTTTTTGCGCAGAGATCGCATAAATAAATATAGATTTTATATATATAGGACTTGCTAGAGTCATCAGATTTGCTTGCATTTATTTATTTTAATTTTTTTTAACTGGGCGTTATTTCTTGATTTAATATCATACACGAAATGTTCATATAAAAGGTCCCTTAAAATAGCGATCAACTCCAACCCTGTTAACCTGATGATTAATTCAACTGCAAGGATATATAAACTTTAAATTTCTTTCTTATTTTTATTTTATTCTATATTGTTTTGTTTTTCAATATTAATTGAAACAATTTCAAAATTCTACTGTATACTTTACTTGTTCAAATCACAACCCATCCTAGTAGGCATCCGTCTCTGTAGTCTGACAGCTGGCAGTTTCACTTTCGTGTCCTAATGTGCTTATATATCAAAATTCATAATTTTCCAAAGCATACAATTCCCCAAAATTAATCATCAACGGACTAAGCATTCCGTTTCTTTGGCTACCATAACCGCTTCCAATCTGTTTCTGGTTACCCAGCCGCATTTACTTTCGCTTCCGGTTCCGTTTCCAGGATGTGCTTTGGCAAGTTCTTCGGCGGCAGGCATGGAAATCGTTCCAATGCTGTTGCCACTGAAGGTGTCACCGTGCGTCCCAGCCTGGCCAATGTTCCCCAGGTGTCCGTGGACAATATACGCTCCGTCAAGTCCACCAAATCGACCAAGTCCGTCAAGTCTGGCAAATCGATGGCCGCTGCCAGCCGCGTGACCGTCAATTTGGCCAACCAGCGAGCACCCAGTGTTAACACCATAGGATCGGAGGCAAAGAAATCTGTGCTGGTTGGGCCAGGCGGAGGAGTTTCCAGTGCCAGCGCTTCGGTGGTCCCTAATGCTGCTGGTGGATCTGCCACCGGCTCTGGGACAGCAGATGGCAGCTCTCGCTCTGTAAGGCGCAGCTCCTGGTGGGGTTACTTTGGCATGAACAAGAAGAAGAATTCTAGTATTGATTCGCTCTAGGTTCCAATGATCCCATCCCGGAGCAGCGCAAATTGCTAAGGATTCATCTTCAAAGACCTCCGTCGGGATTAGAAGCAGAGAAGGAAGCACACATATCTTCGATTTTTCAGAATTACAGCAGAAAAAAAAAAATGAAATAAAGTGCAAAACCCGTAAAAAAAATCCTTTAAAAAAACCCCTAAAATTCCCAACTCCTGGAATCCGTGTAGAATCAATGTATTCAAGTTCGTTTAATATGATTTTATTTATTTTTTATTATTTTTCAAGCTTCCCTTTCCGATTTAATATGAGCTCTTGTGTATACCATATATATCCCCATGATCGGATCATCTTCTTTCCGAGATCGTGTCGTGTGCGCGCTGGACACACAGAGAGAGAGAGAGAGAGAGAGAGATAGACAGGGGGTGGGACAGGGTGGAGCGGGCCAAACAAAGCTCAAACGTCGCCACCGCCGAGCGATTAGTGTAATTTATCAGTCGCAACGGCAATTTATCGGTGGGATTTATATGGAAAGAAGGTAGGGTGGTGGTAGGGAGGGGGCGTAATGGGCGTGGGGCCGGTGACGGGTGACGGTGGGTGGGGGCGATCGCGGGGGTGGATGCTTTTTGACAATAAAATTAATGTGGCTGTTATCACAAGTAATTGTTGCCGGCGGCATTTGTTATTTTTGCTATTACCGCTACTATTGTTACCGGTGGCGACTTGCGTCAATGGGAAGCTACACTGTCAGAAAATGCATACAAAAAAATAGGGGAAAAGAAAGCAAAACCTCTAATGTGTTACCAATTTTTAAAAACTTCAAATAGTTAAAATTGTCAAGAAATTAAACTTAAAGAAACTTTAAACTTAGTATGAATTTTTATCCAATTTAGGTTTAGTTATTTAACATTTTAATTTTTCCCAAAAATGATTCAAAAAATCTCAGAATTTTTTAAAAATTTTATAAGGGGTTACATCGTTAAAATTAGCAAAAAATTTGCCAACAAATTTAATTAAAGAACTGTTAATTTTGGTTTTCAGATCTATTAACCTTATAAAATTCAACACAAAAATTCTTTCCAAATTGAATTAAATGCATTTTATGGCTTAGTTATATTTTTTAAACTTTGATTTTCCGAACAAATTTTATAATAAAATTAAATTTAGTATGTAGATTTATTAAACCTATTAAAACTAACTCAAAACTGTTTTCCGAATTGAATTTATTGTATTTTTGGCTTAGTTATAGATATTTTAAGTTTAACTTTTCGTGAAAAATTATCAAAAACAATTTTCATAATGTTTTTAATAGTTTTATAAGGGGTTACATGGTTAAAATTGTAAAAAATTTGCAATAAATTTTGTTAAAAATGTAACAAATTTTTAGAATGCACTTTCCTAATTGAATTTAATATATTTTTAGCTTTATGGTAGATGTAGAATTCGGTCTCCTTCAACCTGAAAGTTTATACAAAATTCGGCTTTCAGAAACTATTATTTAAAATGTTTATTTCTTTATTTAACATATATTTTTTTAGAAATAAATATACAATTGTAATACCATTTTCCTGGTGTAACAATGACGCTCTGGAAAAAGTAAAACCGTAACCATTCAGAATTTGCATAAATTGTCTTGGCCAGGGCAGTCATAGTACTTCAGAGACATGTAATACTTAATACAGAGAGACATACGTAATAATATGCAATCTGCAATTAGGAATTTGCCAATTCCGTCACGAATTTTGCACGTGCAACACACCAACTAGCATTAAATGGGGCAGGGGGTAACTTCGAGTCATTTTCCGATTTCCCAGCCCACCCGCCGGCGATCTTGTTTATTTTTAAAGACAAGGCATAGGAATGAAATAAAATGTATATATCGGATATATGTACATCATATATCCACCGATACAGTATAGACTGAGAGAGAGGGGACTACACTTTTTGTGGGCCGTCTTCATTGGGGCCGATGCCTCTGACGTCGTCGGTTCGGTTCAGTACGGTTTAAGAAGAAAAACGTAAAAAACACACGCTAAATACGCAAAGATTAATTAATGTAACAATTTTCGGCTGTAAATAATTCGAATCTCGGCGTGTTGCACTGCAAAATTGTTTGTAAATTGTTGTGTCATTACAGCGAAAAAAAAAGAAAAAAACGAAAACTGCAAAAAGCCGACACAGTGCGCTGATTGTCGGACTCAAAAAATAAACAGCAACAGATTTTCATTTTTGTTTATTTTCGTATTTTGTGTGTGTGTGTTTCGTTTGGGTTTATTTTGGTAGCCGCCGACAATCGGAACAAAATCGGAGGAAAACAATGTGAGTGGAGTGCCTGCCGCCTGCTTGTCGCTCAATCGCCTTTAAAATGCAGTTAATTAAATAAATTGCAAGCATCAGTCAGCGGTTCCAAAAGCGCCTCCGCGTTAGATACTAACTTATAGCCGCTATATCCGACATTTCGAGAGATCCGATCCGATCTAATAGCGGCAAACTGCAGACCAGGAAACAATTGAAAGCATCTCAGAAATGGGTATTTATGATGATGGGAACCTTGTGTCGAGTCGGGCAATGAGATCTGCCAGGAACAAGTATGATATATATATATCTATATACTTATGTATATATTTTGGGAATCACGCCAACTTGACGTCTTTGGGTTTAATTTAAGAACAAATAAAGGAATTTAGAAAAGTAGAATAAGAGAAATGTTCAAGACAAATTTCTCAGACAGAGCTTAGACATATAACTCATATTTTGTTTATAATAAATACAGGAAAATGAAATTTCTAAGTACTAATAATAACACTAAGAAAAATATTATATTTTTCATATTTTTTCTGAAATTTAGGACGTATTTTTCTGATTGGCGTGGTTCAAAGGTGAATTCCACATTTTTTTGCTGGTCAATTTTTAATAAAAACCTAAAGTTAGTGGTGCAAAAAAATCTCACACGTGTGCACTTATAATTCCCAACCAGTTCTAACATTCCCGGAATAAAGTGACGGTTGCCAGCTGCCGAGCGGCGAGTGCATGTGGATGTGTGGTTACATTTTTGTGCTACTATGTAATATTACATAAATACTTTTACATATATGCTAGGTTTTAGGTAAACATTTTGATGAGTGCATGCTCAAGTCATGATTAAGTCAGAAAAGTGGGAAATACGTGGCAGAGAATTGGAGAATTTCCGCCACGTAAGAAGCCATTAAACAAAAGTTACTAGTTACTATTACTAAACGCTATTTGCTGGCCAAACAAACCGCACTTGGCCATTAACGGCCCAACTACAGCTGCCACTCGGTTACAAATTGCAGCGTCTGGCAAATATTTTCTTCTAACTTTGGCTTGATTTTAACAATCTCACACTGGTAATTGTTGATAAAATAACAAATGGAGAGGGAGAAACAAATGTTTTTTGTTCGGTTTACTATATTTTTTGCTTTGCATTCTCTGAAACGCAAATTCATGGGGCGAGGGCAAGAAAGCCGATATTCTTGGAGGGCCGTAAACAAAGCCCTATCTGGGCCAGAGATAATGATGCCAAGTGGCCGGCAGTCTGGCCCACTGATTGACCATTATATATATGTATTATTTGGGGAGATCCTAGTCTAAAAGTGTTCCGTTGATTGGGTATTATTTATAGAAATTTGTTTGCCACGCGCCGACGTCACTGTGAGCATATATCATTTGCCGATGTCATGATTTTTTTTGGAAATCCGCAGCCCCTCCGGGTTGTAGGACCCATAAATCGAGTACACTCGAACTCATCAAGGTGACAAATTCTGAAAGTAGGAAGAATTGCACCTACACTGGTAAATAAAAATGAATTTTAACAATTTTGTGGAATAATTTTCAATATTAAAGGGAGAAGAAGGCATTTCTGAACGATAACTATATATGTATATTCTTGAGCAGCATTAACAACCGATTCGATCTATAGCCATTCCATAATACAATTCCATGTTACCCAATTTATTTTTAATTTTTTAAGGTGTTCTTATCAGTAGAATTGTGTAAAAAAAATGTAATTAAAAACAAAAATGTGAAATTAGTACTCGTAAACCTTTATTTAATTTCTATATATATTTTTTTTTTAATTTTAATTAAATTTGTTTTTCTCTAGAAGTACATAGCTGGACTATGCATTTGTGTTTTTCCAGTGTACAAAAAAATTTCTTCTTGTACCTACAACAAATGTGCAAACAACAGCTAAAATAATAGAAGCATTGCAAAACTTTCCATCAAGTCAAAGGTTTGGCTAAAAATAAACCTAAAAGAACATTTTATAAAAATTGTACTCTCTAGGGATGTAGGTCAAGATCAATAAGTTAAGAAGAAAAGTCTAATGTGATCTACAAAATGTCTTTGAATATCGAATATCGAATTTTGTTGTATCGAAAAATATCGCATTTAAACGAAAAATATTTAAGTTATTTGTCACCTTTTTCCATTATTTTAATCTAATATACTATATAGTCTAATAGATTTTTCACATATATCGCCACGTTAAAATATTTATTCGCGTTCTAGTACTATATTTTGCTCACAGTGTACTATGCCTGAGACACCGGAGATGAGTTGGCAGAAAGTGAACAATTCCGGCTGGCATGTTAATTGATTAGAAAGTCCGAAATAGTGCCTATGAAAATTCTCACCAAGAACTGGAAAAACCCTGATTGAAAAAAAGGATCTCGATCCTTTGCTATTTACTAACGATAACCTATCAGATTTGTTGTCTTTTCGATTACCAGTTAATTTGGAATCTTATCTGCTCAAACATGACTTTAATATTGTACAATCTTAGTGTGACTTCAATTAGATGGTGAAAATCGCAGAATCACCAGCCTTCGCGATTGTGTTGAAAATAAAAATAAATTACTTTTGATTTGTTGAAAAACCAATTTGAGCTATTTATGAAATATTATAGAGGGTGTTATTTATTGCAGATGATAAGTGTCGTTGTAGTGTCTGTGTCCCCAAAATATCCCATGATTCATAGGCAGACGGAGACCCTCCTCAGTACCGGATGGAAATGACTTTTGATTGTTGTTTGCAGGGGAGAAAACCGAAAACAGTTTGCCAATAGTCGCCTTGTCCATCTGCGTCATTGCGAAAACACTTGTCTATCGCCCATTTGTTGGCAAAAGGGGCGTGGCCGGAGGTTTTTACATACTATACATCTGTTGACAAACAAATGGGGTTGAAACTTTAGAGCTAATATTTAAATTCTTCCAGTGATAATTAATAATTTCAATATCAAGTCGATTTACCGATATTATATCGATTTTTGTCGTGCAATTCGATTTATAAATTTATAACAGATATATCCATATTTTGTTTAATATGTATAGAATCAAAATAGCAAACATTTTCCCAATAACATTTAAACAATATTTTTCAATATTTAAAATTTCGATATACCATGACAGATTGATGTAATTTCCTGTATGATTTTGTTTTGGGATCTATTATCTTTCCCGCTGCTGTGGCCACCCTTACATGCGGTTAAGAATGTGGTATTTGTTGGGGCAAGGCGCCAGTCATGTATCACAAATTCTTTTCTTGTGTCTCCCCGTTGGGGTCGTGTTCTATGCTGCTTATCAGCTATTGGCTATCGGCAAATCGATAAATCATGTCTCCAGGAAAGAGGAGATCTTCTCCGAACCCAACCCCCTCAACCCTCAGGCCGCTTCGCCTTGATCTACTGACGTTACTATTACCATTATGGCAGTAAGTTACCTGCAAGTGAGCTGTTTGTTCGCTGTGGCATTGAGACACCGGCATCGCTTTCATTTGGCTACAATTTCAATTTCAATTCCAATTCCAATTTCGATTCCATTGCGTTTGCAATATTTTAATTGGGTTTAAGATCGTTTTAGTATCGTTACCCAGCTCAACTTTGACAAAGATTGTGATTCCGAAACCGATTCGGAGATGCTCCTTCTCTTCGAATAGTCTACGATTTTAAATACTTTTTCATATGTAGCTCATTTATTAAATAATTTATATTTATATTGTTTAGTTTTAGGGCTTAAGGTTTTTTTTGCATTAAATGTTTTTAAGGATTTTTGGATATCTTAAAAAAAACAAAAAAGTATAAAAGTTACATTCACTTATTCTGATTTTGTAATAAATTGTGGTAATTATGAAAAATGTGGGAAATGTAAGTTAAATGGTTTTTCAATATAACTGGAAAGTTGGAAATTTAAAAAAAATTAAAATTGAATTCTAGCTATTTTTAATGTTATATGAAATACAAAAAATATCATTAATATTGTAAAAACTACTATAAATTCTAGAAATATAATAAAATATTTAAACAAATTTTAAAGCTTAGTTGTGGAATAATATTTTGTTCTTTTATTGCTTAATTTTTTATTATTATTTTGTTTTTGCTTTTTTGTAAATTTATTTTAATTTCTAATGCTTATATAAATATTGTTCGGTTCTTTTGTGTACTACTGGTTGAATTCGATAATACCGAGGGTTTAGTAGCTCCCTTCCTCGTCGATCAGGTCGACGCCGGCGGAGCTGCCAGCGTTGACGCCGACTGCGACTGCGACTGCGGCTTCTCAGCTTTTGGCGCAATCGAAAGTTACGTTTCAGCTTTACGTAGAGCGCATTAGTCGATCGCTGAAAGTCGACGGCGTTAGTTCACAGTTAAGCAAACAAAAATAACAAAAAAAAAAAAAAAGGGAAATTGAAATTGAAAAAAATTCAAGAAAGTCTCAAAGAACCCTATATTAGCTGGAAGTATCACCCGGAGATATTGTAAGTGGTATTCGATTACCTAATATTCATACGATGCGCAAAGTGCTCTCGAAACTGAAGATCCAAGATTGCGGCGGCGACTATCAACTTTTCTTCCGTTCGAACCGAAATTATCATTGATAATCAATTGATTAGTACAAATTTAATGACAGTGCAAACAAACGAACCAAGTTCGTTCCGCCGCCCAAACGAATTTATTTAAATGGGCAAATATTAAATTAAAAGCTATGATTGCCACCGAATTTCTAGCCAGTCCAGAGCTATTTATAAGCCTGGATTTGTGCAATTAAATTGCAAAATTGTTGCCACCGCAAATGATTAAATTAATTAAATTAATAATGGCACAGTCGGGCCACAACAGAAGATGTGACTCTCCATATAATATAGAAATTTATGTATATATAAATTATAATGTGACTGAAAATCGTGCTCGCATTTCTCCAGCAATTTGCCATGCGATTCCCGCCAGCTGCTCTCTACTTCCCCCATTCCTTACTGATCCCACACGGAAATGCTATCTAAAAACTATATATTATAATTATATATTATATTATATAGGCAGTGCAAAGAGAAATATATATAATAATAGGTAATCCTGGTGCTTAAAAAACTATAAATATAAAACATGAATAACAAAAGACATTTAATTTTTGAAATAAATTATAATAAATAATAAAACAGTTAAATATATATATATATATTATGAATAAATGCAACAAGTTTGCAAATGATTTCCTGAATAAAAAAAAATACAAATAATAAATCAGTTTCTTTATTTATCCTTTATCTCCCTCCCATCATTGCTTTTTCCGCGTATTTTGGGTATTTTATATACATATGTACATATATATATCTCCAGCTCTCTAGTGCCTAGTTTTCGATAGTTATTCCTCCGATTTGCATGCAGCACGTCGTGTGGGGATCCAATAAAAAAAAGTGCTAATCAGGCGGGCCTTTAAATTCCAATCATGAGCCAATTAATCTCCCTTTTTCGGGCCTCCAGATCGCTAGCTTAGAAAGAAAGAAACCCCCAAAATAATGAGTGACAGTCGGTGATATTTCCCATTTCAAACTAAAAAGAAAAAGGGATTTTATGGGTTATCTCTGTGTCTGCTTGCTGGGCCCAAACACATTCGATCTTCGACTAATTGCCAAACGTGACAGATAAAATTCCTAAACCAAGTTGAGAAGATACTATTGCCAGGCGAACTTCTTTAACTTTAGCCAAACTCGGAACACGTTAGGCAGAGTGTCACATAAAAAAAGACAAGCTACAAAGTCTACTAAATGCCATAAAACAATACAGTTTATTTATAATTTATGCCATTGCAGAGTTTAAAATGTATTCTAACTAATTAACATTTATTGTTTAAGCAAACCAATGCATTTGAGAAAGCTTCGAGCTTAATGCAAAAAAGGGATAGTAAATATAATATATATAGAGAGAATATATAGAAGAAAATTTTATTTTAGTTGAGTTTTAAATCCCTTAAAAACGCTTTAACTATGTTATATTCTTAAAGAATTTTATTCCCATTTAGTGCTTAGGTTTTATTTAACTTATTTATTTATTTCCCCAACAGAGAGACTCCTCAACTGGCTACTTAAATACTTTTTCATATATAATATAATGTATAAGGAAGTCAAACTGTTCCAGCTAGTTAGTGAGTTGTCTGTCAAGCGAGGATCAGTGCCTTAAAAGCATGGCCTGTAAACAATAAAATCAAATTAATTATGACCAAATAAATCACTGACATCTCTCGTTGCGGGCAGAATTATTGCCCTCTGCTGCTGATAAGCGACGTCGGCTTAGGCTCTCCACCGACCAATTAATTAGCACGCGAACAGCGACGCTGGCTGAGGCAGCGGCGTTGGCAGAGGAGATTGGCCAACAACAACAACAACAAAAGCAAAACCGATGGAGTAAAGTCGATCGAGCGTCTCATTATGCTTTTCTGCTTTTCCGCTGCTGCTGCTGCTGCTGCTGGGTTTGCGTCTGCGGTTGCTGCAACTGGGCCAGCGCACACAGTCGAAATTCGGCAATTCGAACTTGCGAAATTCGAAAATGCAAAGACCTAACGGTGATCTCGAAAGTCTTGGCCTTGAAGTATAAGAATACGTTTTTAAATTAAATTTAAATTAAATGTTTAAATTGTAAACTCACGGTTCCTGTAATGTTGTAATGCTGTTCGTCATTATGTAGGCTGCACTGTATTATGTTCGCTTTATTTGTTTATTTGATCGCTGCAGTTAGCTAACTGCATTTACACAGATGTTTCACGGCCTCCTCTCGTTTTTCTTTTCATATTTCTACACAGCGAGAAAAAAAAACTATTGATATTGTTTTAAGAGAAAATAAATTAGAGAGGCTTGTTTAAGATATTCAAGTTTTTCCTTTAAATAAATATATATTATTTTGTATATTTTCAGAATATGGACCTAAAAATGGAGTTGGGTGGCTATGTACAGTCCTCGCCAAACACCAAGCGATTCGTTGTGGAAGACTCGAGTGAGTTTTTTTTTTTTTTTTTGAGTGAAATCTCGACAAGGTGAAAGGGTGAATGGACAGCTTGGCTGGCTACCCTTTCTTCCGGCTTAGACAATCCGGAAGGAAGTGCGTCGGCGGCATCGGATACGGAATCCGAATTCGAAACCAAGTCCGAATCCGATCAGAGGCGACCAGGTCAGATCAGCGTCAAGTTGAAGTTCAACGGCTGTCGTCGGTCGTCGCTGATGGCCCTGAAACACGATGCATCTGAGCCATATTTATCAGCCTACTTACACTGAGCAAAAAGACTGGTATTCACCCCATTAATCGAATCATTGGCGTAGTGCGCTATAACTTTGAAATATTTAAAATTTGTAATTAAATAATATTTTCAATATTTTTAGAACTACAATAAAATTTTATCAATTATTACGCAAAAGTGGCAAAAAGATCCATAAAATCTTTAGTTTTTAACCAACATTTAGCATGAATATATGATTTTAATATCCAAACTTGCACTGTAAAGCTCAAATATGAAGTTTAAAAAACATTTTAGTCAACTTTCTAATATACTAAAGGCCGCTGAAAAAGTGAACTCCCAACTAAATATGGCTTTACAGACGACCTTGCGGCAATTTACGCTTCACACCTGCCAAATTGGAGCAGCAAGTCGCTCCCAGTCACTCACTCACTCACCTGTCCGCTTTCTCTCTCGCCCCCCTGCAGTTACCAAGGTCACCTCCGACGGCGAGCCCCACGGAATGATGACCATGGTGGCGGGACTGTCTGGATTGCTGGCCGCCATCATAATTCTGGCCGTGCTCGTCTCCATGGTGGCCTGTCGCAAGCAAAAGAGGTAATACAGATAATATATATACGGAAGTTAAAGAAATATAGTCTAAGAACTCAAATGAATACTTGCAGCAGCCGGAAGAGCAATGTTTCCACCAATGTGGCCATGACCAGTGTCCAACAAAATCAGCCGCAGTTGGCCGGCAACCTAAATGCCGCGTTTGCCGAGAGCACTCTCACATTGGACAAGGACCAGGACAAGGAGGTCCAATGGCGGCCCACATCCGTGGTGGTGGAGCGATATTAGCTCAATCGGATTCCATAGCCCGGAAGGAAACGTGATGTTTTTGTGAACATTTGAGACTGAGACTTAGCCTAAGGATTCCCATCACCATATTTTATTATATGCTATATATATATATATATCCTTTTTTTCCTTGTTGAAATGTAAATACATATATGTTTACGTATAAAAAAAATATATTAAAAGTGTTAAAATGGCCTTTGACAAAAAGTTTTAATTAAGGTGAGGAATCTGTTAAATATTATGCTATTTTTGGCCCGCTGGAGTCTCTCTTTACTAAATCTGTGAAACCCCTAATTGAAATCTAGCAAAACACAAGGAGTAACAGGACAGAAAAGGTCCTTTTGTACTTCAAAATTCTGAAATTCAATAAACTACTTTTGTGGCAAAGCCATCTACCATTGGTTTTCCAAACCATTAACAAGTTTCAAATCTTCGGGAATCGAGGAACCACCACCAGCAGCAGAAAAATAATTATTTCTCGAACCTACAAAGAACACAATAGATCGATTTAAAACTAATGGCTTTATTACAAACGGATATACGCTTAAGGGCCTACAGCGGTTACTGTATTGAGTCTATTCATTTCTTGCGCTCATAGCGGAATCTATACACGGGCGCACTGTCCTTGGTACCAGCTTTCACTTTCTTTGGCTTGAGGAGACGCTGCTGCTTGAGTGTGTTCTTCAGCTGTATCTTCCGCTGGACAATGCCCAGCTCCCGTTCCCGAATCTCCCTTTTCTTCAGCTCGTTGATGCGCTGCTGCCGGGTGGAGTTTGGCGCTGGAGTTTTCTGTAAGAAAAAACAAAAAAAGAGAACAGCTCAGGAAGGTATTCCGAATTACAGATGCACGTATCTCTCACCGTTGCCTGCTCTGATTCCTGGAGGCGTTCGCCCAGGGTAACTGCTGCCTTTTGCTTCCTGCCCTGCTCGTCAAAGGTAAACCGCTTGTTGGACGCACCACTATCGATGTCCACCAGCTCCACCTTGAGGCGTTCGATCTTCCGTCGCTCCACAGTGCGCTTCATCACCACATACTTGAGGTCCTGCGTCTGCATTAGGGCCAGCTGCTCGGGGGTATGCTCGTCCTCCTTCTCCTTCTCGCGATGCTCATCGTTGGCCAGCTTCGAGTTGATCATGTGATGGTAAAACTCATCCGGATTCTTGTTCTGCGCCCGCCGATACAGCACCTTAAGGGTCTTCTCTTTTTTCTGGGCATCGAGAGCTCGCTTCTTGTAATCCTTCTTCTTCTCGAGGAAGCCCAAGTGCTGACGCGCCTCGGGCTGGTGGCGTTCGCGGTGCACCTTTTGGTTGCTCTTGGTCGCCTTCTTCCACGACGACATCTTAGATTGCTTTTTATCTTAAAATTATGTTTTAATTGGAAGAAATTGGTTTGTTTACGACAAAAACGTGCAAGTTGAAGCCAGTGTGAACGTGTAAATGCGGGTAAAATAATCCGCCAGATTTTGAGTTTGTAATGTCTGGCCACACTTATTGGGTTGCCAGATCCCGAAATTAAATTTAAAAAATTTTTTAAATAAAACACTTGAAAAAGCAACCGGGAGAAAGTTCCAAAAATACATTTTGAAGTATTCCCAAATTTATCTTGAAATAAAATTGTAGTATTTAAGTAAAGAATTAAATCTTTATTTGTGTATTACATTTATTACAGATTTATGCAGATGCAAACTACTGCGTCTTCTTGTCCTCCTTGACCAGCTGCTCGTCCTTGAAGTGCAGGAACACGAACGAGAACACAAAGACACCAATCATCATGGAGAAGGCGCTGGTGTAATAGGGGAAAGCGCTGGGAATGAATCGCTCGTACTGTGTGTGCTCCAGTGGACGGACCGACACCTGCGTTGTGCTGTATAGGTGGGTGTAGCCCACACGATCGTAGTCCACCTTGAACTGGTAGACGCCATAGACATCTGGGATCTCAAATTTGGCCTGATAGGCACCAGACTTGATCTGCTTCAGATAGGTGCGCACGAAGGGATCAATGCGGACGAATTCCAGCTGGATATCGTTGGCCTTAAAGGCGCGCCACTCTCCGGCCACCAGCTCCTCGATGGCAATGGTATAGACCACGGGATCGGTAATGGTGTAGGCCTGCTCTGGGGGCAGGTTCTCGCCCTCCTTGTGATGCTGAACGGATCCCACGCGGAGGCGGCCGGTCTCTCCGAAAACCCACTGACTAATGGACTCGGCAACGGCGCGATTGCCCGCCTGCTTATGGAACACACCGCTCTGGGCGTACTGCACCGCGGTGGTGAAGCTCTCGTCGGCGAAGAAGTGCAGGGATCCGGAGAATACCACCCTGGCGTTGTTCCTTGCCTGCAGAGCGGCAATAAGCAGAGTGCCACGCCCCACGGCATGCGGATAATCCGTGACACTGGACTCGGGATTGTAGCTATAGGCACTGCTCTCCGCTGTTAGGAGCTTCAGCACCAGTGGGTTCTCCTTATCCGCTATTAGACCAGTGCCTCTGTACAGCAGAGGGGCGGCATCCGCCTGCCTGTTGGCCTTGCCAACAATAGTGTCCGCTTGAATAAGGTTCTTGGCCGAAGTGAGAATGGTGGTGTGCTCTCCCGAATCGGAGACATCATAGTGAAGATGGTCAATCACCGCAGCATTGTCCTCGTCCAGCTCAAAGCCGCACTCTGACGCAAATTCCCTGAGGGCGTCACCAGACTTCTCACTACCCGCCACCAAAACGTTGCCGCCATCGTCCACGAACTGAGCCAAACGATCCACGCTAATATCGCCGCCGAACTCCTCGACACTTGGGGCAAAGATAATCAGATTCTTGTACAGATACTCGCCGTATTTGGAAAGCAGAAGACTGGAGTCATCGGCCAGCTTGTAGGTCAGCTTAAATCCGCGATCTGGTGGAGCAAAACACAACTATTAAGTTCTCCCTGCCCTGGGCATACTTTTGTCCACGTCAGAGGTTAGCCGGCGTTTTTCCACCTACCTTGTAGCGACTTGAAGAAAAGGGAATGGGTCTCGCGTATGGCCAGGTTGTCCAGCAGTATAAGGGTGTTGGCATCTGTTTCGAGGACCGCTTGGCAGTGGGCAATAGCCAAGGCGGCAATTAGGAGCGCCTTCCACAGCATTTTAACAAATTTATCCGGCTTTTCGGAACACAAGTAGAGAAAACGACTGACACTTTAGTGTGACCGGAGTGGATACAACAATAATACCAAACTTGATATACCGATTGTAGGCCTTAAAATGACGGTCACACTGCCTCAAACAAACAAAAAATATAAACAAAATACTCCATTTAAAGTAAAAGTTAGGAAACAAGGGATCTGGCATGGACATCTTCGAGAACCTTTGCCGAACGTGCGGCAACGAGTGCCTGGACCTATTGAACATCTACGAGGTCAGCGTTAAGGCTCTGGATAAGACAGTGTTCGTTGCGGAGATGCTCTCCTCCTGCCTACCCACCGGCTTTCCGGCACTTCAGCCCACTGACGCGTATCCCAAGCTGATCTGTCGCATTTGCTTGAAGAAACTAACCCTGGTCTACGAGTTTAACCAGCAGTGGGTGGGTGCCCACAGCGAGTTCAATGTGGCGCTCAAATTTGAAGAGCGGCGAAAGCGCAGCCTGGCCAGCAAATCGCAGGACTTGAAGGTACCGGAGTTACTCAAACCCCGGGAAGTTCCTGAACTTCCCAGGATATCGCCCGAGGCTGGTGGGGGTGAGTGAATAAGGAAAGGTCAGGATTAGCCGATTAAGACTCTGTCCTTAATATAAAGCGAAATCCAGGTCAATGTTTAGTGCAAAAGGATTATAAGCCGCGCTCAAGGATTATAAAAACAAAACGTACACATGCCAGTGTGGTCGATAGTATCCTTCCTTTTCACTCTGCCCCAGAATCTTTCCACATGAAGAATTTCGCCTCCTGACTTGTAGCTATCTCTCTCTCTTTCAGAGGCAGTGTGTTAATTTTAAAAATAAATTTAAAATTTGAGGATCATTGACAGACCTTTTTTTTTTACTAATATTAACTACTCCGAGTAATTTTGAACTTTAGCTAGATTTAACATTGCCTTCAAAAGTTAATGTTACATTTTATCCACATTTTCTTCTTTACAGGTACTGTAACTTCTACCGAGGATGCCAAGCCCCATTTCAAGTGTACCAGCTGCGATGAATCCTTTCTCACGGAAAAGGCTTGGTGGTTTCATCGCAATTTCTCTCACAAGGGTCTCTAGCACGCAACAGAGACTTTAGGATAGTTAAGAAATATAACTCAGGAAAAAAGTTGAGTTAATTGTTTTACTTAGCTAATAGCATAAACAAAAAAGTAGTTAAGCTGAGAGGGAAACTGTCGTCTGGCTTTCCGGGGGAACTCCGCTTCTAGTCGTCCTCATCATCTCGCACTTTCTGGGCACGGGGATCGTCGTGGCGGAATACCACATATCCCAGCTTGTAGCGGCGGTTGTCCCCATCCTTGGCGTAGTAGTTGGCCACTCCAATGGTGGCCATCACGATGCCAGCGAGTGCCAGAGCCGATCCGCCGACAATGTCGGGAATCTCGTTCCAGGCGCGCTTCAGTAGCGACGTCGAGCCACGGGCGGCGGATGCGGACATTTTTGTAGGCTGCGGTATGGAATTACCGTGAATTTATATTTTTTAAATAGCGAATTATCGTATATTTACCAAAAAAGAGTTCGCTTTTTAGTTACACAACTGGAACAGCTGTTGCTGGAGATGGTGCCTTCTTGCGTTTGGCTATCGATAAGAATTATCGCTTTCCGTTGCCGGTGACAAGAAGATGGACTTCAAACTTGATTATAGAAAAACAGATTTTTATTTGGAATTTAAAGCTTTTTTATAATTTTTACTCTGATTTATTTACATAAATATTCTAATATGGATCTAACCAGTACTTTTTCAGGTTTTTACCCTGATTTATTATACAACGAAGACTTGATTCGGTTTATAATTTTATGCTCAAACACAAAGTTTAAGAATCCACGTTAAACTTTTTATTTTCCAATGAACTCCAATCAGTTCCTTGTATTGAAAATAAACAAATTCCCAAGAAGCAAAAACATCGGTGCATCGCTTCTCATTGAAAGCAATGATTTTATCGATAGTACGATAGATGTTTTTGCAGCTCTAGTCGACGCAGCTCTTAAGGTTCGTGTGCGCGACGAAAAAATATAAAATCGTAACGAGCAGAGAGAGGAGCGAAAAAACGTGTGAAAACTACATTAAAAAAAGGTACCGCCGTCGCCAAACTGTAGTAAACGCATCCAACTTAAAAGTTAACTCTGTGCCTACTGCGAAAATGTTTTCAAAGCCGGGGATAGACATTTAATGTTCTGGCATTTCAAGGACCTTTTTTGCTCAGCGCCTCCTGTCTGCTGATTTGTGTGTGGGTGTGTGTGCGTGCGACACTCCGTGTGAGCCCCCGGATGTGCCAGTGTGGGTGTGTGTCTCGCGTATGTGTTTTTTGACCACGACCACCTGGGCGGTAGTCAAGTGGAAATTTTGCGTTCAAGGACAACGGCAGTGGCGACCGTCCCCTCCCTCCACCCTATATGACAACTACACTCTTACACTTTTGAGGGTATTCTATCCCCTTTATGTTGGGGCCATAGGCGAGAGAGAGAGAGAGAGAGAGCGAGCAAGAGGGGGAGCCAAGGAGAGCCCACCGACGACAAGTTGTCTGGCCATCGCTTTGTACAGTTGAAATTGGTTTTAGAATTACTCCGCCCCCGCCCCCTGCTCCCCCAAAACTTAAACGAAAAAAGGACGTTTGAATGACCATTTGAAAGTTGTCCAATATACAATTAAGAAAAGGAATTAGATTTTCATTTGCCATGTGTATTTCATCGAAGTGTGTGCGGGTGTATGTCGTATTTTGTTCTTTTCTTTTTTGCCGCGATTGAGCGAGCTTGCGCACACCAATACCAACTTGCATTTGGCATATGCCGCCGCCACTCTCTCTCTCTCGGTCGCTCGCTCCCAATAGCCGGACCCCAGCAGTGCACTCTAAAATAACTGTTCGCGAGCGAGCAAGAGAAGCACACAGGCGTTAAAAAAAAAGTAAAAATAAAAGTATAGTACAGGAAAATAGTATCAGCTGCGGCGCAGATTTGACGAAAGTCGTTAGGGGACAATAATTGCAATTGTAACGAAATGGAGAATAAAAAAGACCAGCAGCCGTTCTAAATTCGGGTACCACGTGTGTCGCTGCGTTCAAGTGTGGGTGCGAGTGTGTGCGTGTGCAATTGTTTTTTGCAGCTGATTTGTGTGCGTGTGATGTGGACAACAACTACAAAAGTATGTATCTGTGTGTATAATCTAGAATCTAGATTTAATTTCGCCGCACACATCCGCTGACCGAAAAAATAACGATTTACTAAATTATTTAGTCCAAGTCCCAAACAAAAATGGGTTATTCAATTATTGTCGACTGGTCAAGGACTTTTGTGTGTGTTTTGGGTGTCCTTGCAAACGAGCTCCTTGCGGATAATCTAGCTGGGAAAAAGCTGAGGTGTCAGCCGCTTTAGATGCGCCTGCGTGCAAAACAAGTACAGTGACTGCTCGCAATAATAAATACCATTTCACTGCATGATCTCCAGACCTTTTCTAAGAAAATACAAATTTCTGGATAAATCTTTCTTCCTTGAAAATTCTTGTATATTGAGTTGGTATATATATATTTTTATTATCTATTAACCGGGAGTATTGTCTTTTTTTATGTTGAAATGTAAAATAGATATTCGAATTTAATGTACATAATATTCTTTTCATTTATTTATTAATTTATTTTTACTAAAAATTCAGTCAAGTTATTTTTTCAAATTTTAAACAGTGAAAAATGTTATCCTAAAAACATGAATGCAAGTAAATTCAGTTTCAGTGATTTAATGTAACGCGAATAAACATAAAATATGTGTTTACAGATAATGATTACCGTATGAATCCAATAAAACACTGATCCCTTAAATGAACCTAAAATGTTTTTTGTTTATTTTTTATCAGATTTATTGTTTTGAGCAAATTAAATTGGTTCACTACATTGAGTGGGCACTGTAAAATAAAAGACGTTAAACGAAATAAGTAAAGAGCTCAGCTGCTTGCTGTACATATGTATGTGTGTGCGAGCGTTAGTGTGAGTGGCGCATAGCTACACATAACCGTGAAAAACGTAACGTAAACGTAACTGGAGCTAGAATCCACCTTGAGAGGGATGGAGCTGGAACTGGAAAACGCCAAGCAAATAAATGCCAATGGGAAATCGTACGATCAGTCTGGTCAGTGGATTGATATAAACAAAAATACGATACGATACGATCTTGTAAGACACAACACAAAACCACATCCAAACCATTAATAAATTTCCTAAGAAATCTGTTCGCAACTGAAAAAGAAAAAGTAAACAGTTGAAATAAAATCCCTTCTGCCGGCTGAACAAATGCCAGTTACAGATTCTAGACTTCCTTCCCATTTCAGTTTGAAACCAGGTTAGTTTTCACTTGCAATTGGAGAAAATTGGTGTATGTACCTTATCGGAATATTTCAGTTTCTTTCAATAATTCCCAATTGGATGCATTGGAGTAAAAGATGTTAGTCTTAAAACTCTTGAAAATATAATCTATGTATTTACCATTTTCGAAATGGTTTTATACATAAATTAATCAAGCGATATCTTTGGAAAGGCTAGAATGTAAGCATTTTAAATTCATTATTCTGCTATGTACATTACATTACTGTTTTTATTTTTGTAAATAAGGGAAAGAAACAAATCTCAGATCAATGTAAATTGGCGTAACCCTTTCCTGTCCAATAGTACCTGTTAGCAATTAAAATCAAGATGAAGGAATGCAAACCCATGCTGCTACAGAAAACATTTCTAAGAGATATTGCTTGTTAAATCTCAAACATTTTTTTTTTTAAGGTTGCAAGGAGTTTCACTGGCATTTCCTTGAGCCCAGCGTCTTCCGGTACAAAGTTTACATATTAGAAATGTTTATTATTACATTTTGTTTCTCTTGTAAAATATAGCGGTTAAAGCTGCTCTTTCCAAATGAAAATTTCACTTCGGCGCACAAACACTTTCCCATACAGCCGAAAATCATGCAACAAACAATGCGTTAGCGCAAGTGGGTGTGTGTGTGTTTGTGTATGTATGCTGTTGCATAAGCCACAGGCGTAGTCGAAAGGGTATTGCATTCATTGATTTGTGTGCAAGGCTTTAAAGTGGAAGGGGGCTTAGGTTAAGCCAACTGAGAGAACGGGAGAAAGGAACTGCACCTCAAAATGCCATTTCGATTTGCACTGTTTTGCCTCCCACTACTTCCATTCATAGTTGCCTCTCAGTTCTCGCATTGCCTTTGCTCCGTTAGTCAGTTAAGTTAGTTACTTGTGAGCTCGTGTGTAGTGTGTGTAGGTGTGAAGTGTGTGTCGCGTTACACTCGGTTTTTGTTTTGATTATCGGGTTTCCTGTGGCCGTTTCGCAAGTAATTGTTTTTCTTTTTGGTTTCCGCTGTAATGGGCATTTTTGGCTAACTTACTTACCCTTTTTGCATCTTTTTCATAAATCTACTTTGGCTAACAAACGGATGAATTGAAGAGCGGCGCTATCGTCCAATTTCAAAATCGCCTTCTTCGTTAGTGTTACGTTGTCGTCGTCGTCTCGTTCGTCCTTTTTTCGCCTTCTTTCGTGCAACACCAACATCAGTAACGACATCAGAAGCAGCAGCAGCAGCAGCAACAAGAAGAGCAACAGCATCAGGATCATCACAACTCGCCATGCCATCATATGCAGATGCATTAAAATAACGCAAAACAACAAAATCAGCATAAAACACCAAAAACAAAGCAAAACAACAAAAGTATAAGGAGGCTCGCAAAAATGTTTACAAATTTGCATTAAGTTTTAAGTTAAAAAGGAAACGAAGGAGAAGTACTGCAACAAGGAGGAGTAAAAGGCAGCATCAATCGTGTGTTTATGTATGTGTGTCACAGAATATAATAGTTGTCCCTCTCGCGCCTACACCCGGTAATCTAGCCGCTCACGAAACCAAAGTCTCGCTCTCGCTCCCTGGACTTTCTAGGCTTTGCAACTTCATTTACTACGTGCGGAGAGACCTCGTGGCATGGCTCTCTTGGGAGAGCGGCAGGTCGTTAGGGAGCAGCAGCTGCAGAATCAACAACAGTAAATAGTTAAGCTAAAAGTATATGCAAAGGTGAGGAGAATTAGGTAAAGCAGAAGCTCAGAAGCCAAACAAAAAGGAATAAGCAGGATCCAATAGATAATAACAAATTAAATCGTAGGAGAGCCCTCAATAGAAAAGGTGAGTACTTTGCGAATAACATATCCCTCTTTGGTCCTATTTAATTTCATAGATCGAAATGTGGAGAATTTATAAATTAATTATAATTTTTCCCTCGATTCTAATCTAGTTTGTAGATCAATATTGATATTTAATAATTACATATTTTAATCTAATTTATCCAACGATCCATTTGTTTTTTAGTAGATCCTTTTACTTAGTCATAGGGCTATATACATATATATACTAACTTAAAACATTATTCATAATTTATAACTTATTATAAGAATATTAAAATAAATAAACCAATCTATATCTATATCCTTTGCAGCATCATGACCACTTTGGAGGAGCCTGTCAAGGCGGTGGTGGACACGGTGGATCCGTGTCCATCCATCAATAACAGCCTAAAGACCGTCCTCAGCGACGATGCCTCCAATTCGTCGGTGCTGGAGGACACCGATGCGAGCAACACGAGCAGTAGTTCCAGCACCAGCAGCTCATCCAGCAGCAGCTCTAGCTCCAGCTCTGGATCGTGTTCGGGCTCTGCTACGGACACGGACACTGGCAAGGGCAGCAGCGCTGTAGGCAGCCTTGATGTGACCAGTGTGAGCTCCTCGAGCATTGGATCAGCTGCCTCCATCACCTCATCGGTCACCGCAGCCGTCGGACCGCCTGTTATGGTAAACTCTAGCTCATTAACGGGCTTGGGATTGGGCCTTGGACTAGGCCTGGGACTGGTGGTGGATGTGGACAGTACTGGGAGCAGCCAGGAGCTGAGCAGCCACGGCGTTACCGAGCTGGACTCGCTGGAGGACTCGTGCAATGGCCTGATGATCAAGGACGGGGATAAGATGTGCAAGCTGTGCAGGTTAGTTGAGTTTTCAGATTCAAAATTTTTTTTTAGAGATTTTTTTTTTCGAGCTTTTGTTTATGATCTCCTCTTGGCCTTGTCTATTTGATAGTTCGCGCCTTGTGATGCCACGCATCCTGTCCTGCCTGCACGTCTTCTGCGAGGATTGCCTGCAGGCGGTGGTGTCCAAGGATTCAATGTCGGCCAGCTCGCCAACCAGCTGCTCCTCATCTTCGTTCGATGGCAGCGAGCATCAGGTTCATCGCCTGCATACGCCTCCGCTTCTCGAATGCCCCGTTTGCAAGCAGGTAACACCTCTGGGCCCAAAGGGCGTCCAGGGTCTGACCTGTGACTATATCGTGACCAATGTTTTGGATCTGTCCAACCTGGAGTCGGAGCACATTGCCTGCACGTCATGCAAGAGCAAGGAAGAGGCTATTTCGCGTTGCAACGACTGCGCCAACTTTCTGTGCAATGGCTGCGACAATGCCCACAAGTACATGCGCTGTTTCGAGAACCATCAGGTGGTCCGCATCGAGGACCTGCAGAAGAACGTCCACGACAAGCTGATTATACACAAGCCTGTGTGCTGCCTGCAGCATGTGAGCGAGAATCTCAAGTACTACTGCTTCACCTGCCAGGTGCCCACCTGCAACGATTGCCTGCTAAGCGAGCACAAGGGCAATGATCATCACTACGAAACTGCCACGGTGGCGGAGCAGGCGGTACGCGCCGATCTTGAGCATACACTGATCGAGGCCTTGAAGAAGGCCGATTACTGCAACGATGCCGGCGGCAATCTAAGCAGCGCTCTTACGGAACTACAATCGCAGCACGACACGGTGCGCCAGCAGATCGAGGATGCGTTCAAGAACTACAAGCGCATGCTGGAGACCATTAAGGAGGAAATGCTCGCCGAGCTGGGGCGCCTACACTCTGATAGCGAACTGAAGATCATGGATTTGATGCAGAGTCTGGAGAACAACATGGGCAAGCTACAGCAGGCGGCGCAATTCGGTCAGCGGGCCATTGACAAGGCCAATGCCGTAGAGTTTCTACTGCTGAAGCCGGTGATTGCGGCCCAGTGCTTTAATCTCATTGCACAGACGCCCAAGTATGATGTCACCTATCAGCTGCAGTTCCAGACCAAGCCGGAGAAGTTTGAGCAGTTTGCGCGGGAGATGTTTGGCAAGTTCCTAACGGACACGAGCGGTGGCTCCAGTAGCCCCAAGAAGCAATCGCTGAAGCAGCAGGAGCAACATCAGCAGCAGCAACATCAGCAGCAGCAGCAGCAGCAGCAGCAACATCAGCAGCAGCAGCAAGTTCAGCAGCAACAGCAGGTTCAGCAACAGCAGCTGCAACAGCAACAACAACAACAGCAGCAGCACAATGCAAACAATTTGATTGTTGGCCATCGGGGCAGCTCCTCTGTCCAAGGACGCCTCAGTTCGGCTGTATTTAGTCCCATTTCGCTGCCGTCTTCGCTGCAGAGTTCTTTCGACGGTGATACCAACTCAGTGATGACCAATTTCTCAATGATGGACTCGCCGCCGCAGCAATCGTCTCAACAGCAGCTGCCTTCTTCACAACAACAACAACAGCAGCAGCAGCAGTCTCAGCAGCAGGTAGTGCTGCATCAGCAGCAGCAGCAGAAACACCAGCAGCACCAACAGCAGCAACAACAGTTGCAGTTGCAGCAGCAACCACCAGCCCAGCAGGCGCTGCCCCAGCAGATGGGCCAGCTTGTGGTACCGCAGGGCATCGTCCAGCAGGCTGGACAACATGTCGGTCTCAATGCCGGTCCCAGTGCGAATCTGTCCATCAACAATGGACCACCGCCCAGCTTCAGCATGCTGGAGTACAATATTTCTCGGCTGGCGAGCCTAACTGAATCGATACCGGATACTCTCAGTGATGCTCTGGTCGTGGGTGGGGCTGGATCCGGTCCAGGACCGAGTGTTGTTGCCCAAGTGCCTGGTGGTTCGGCGGTGACTGGCAGTGCCGTTGTTGGTGCCCCACATCCGCATCAGCAACAGCAGCAGCAGCAACAACAGCAGCAGCAGCAGGCTGTGATGCCGGCATCAGGAGTGACGCAGCCGGCGCCGCCAATTACCCTGGCGGACATCCTATCCGGCGATCAGCGGGCGCTCAACAATCTCCAAGCGCTGGCCAAGCTGGGACTCAACAACAATGGTGAGTATTTAAATAAATTATTATTAATTTTGTCAACAAAATGCCCTTCGGCTTTGCTTTAGTTTGGTTTCCTTACGCTTTTGAGTTCTTTTTTCTTTCTTTGCTTCGGGCACAAAATGCAAAAACACGCTGTTACCGCTCCCAAACCACCTGAACCACCTGAACCCACTTAAATCCCACGCAACCCACACCCTCACACGCACACACACAAAACAGATGATCTTTTGTCGAGTGGAAGTTCATCGGGCATTGATTTTTTGCCAGATTTCTGCCTGCCACCGGCCACATCTCCCAACCTTCAGACCCTCAATCCAATTGTGGGCGGCGTGGAGGACATGGGCCTTAATAATTTCCATGCTGTGGCACCGCCGGGTACCACCAGTGTTGTTACCGGTCGCAACAAGGCCACGCCTATGCAGATTCGCTGCAAATTTGGTTCCCTGGGCACGGCCAAGGGTCAGTTTAATTCACCGCACGGCTTCTGTTTGGGCGTCGACGAGGAGATCATTGTGGCGGATACGAATAACCATCGCATCGAGGTCTTTGACAAAATGGGAGCCCTGAAGTTTCAGTTCGGTGTGGCTGGCAAGGAGGAGGGTCAGCTCTGGTATCCACGCAAGGTGGCCGTGATGCATAACAATGGCAAATTTGTGGTCTGCGATCGCGGCAATGAGCGCTCCCGAATGCAGATATTTTCCAAATGCGGACACTTTATGCGCAAGATAGCCATCAGGTGAGGCACTAATAACTATAATTATATTACATTAATTTATTATATAAAATAGTAAACACGAATTTAATTAATTTCTTTAAATGTTTTTATCATCAATAGATATATAGACATTGTTGCTGGACTGGCTGTCACCGCCAAGGGCCACATTGTGGCCGTGGACAGTGTCTCGCCCACGGTGTTTGTGATCTCCGAGGAGGGTGAACTGGTCCGCTGGTTCGACTGCAGCGACTATATGCGCGAGCCCTCCGACATAGCCATTCGAGGTGAGTCCTAAACGAACCCTTGCCTGTTCTCAGTTGAGCTAGTTTCTTACAGAGAGATAATTTTTTCTGTATACTTTTTTCAAATTTCCAGACAACGACTTCTATGTGTGCGACTTTAAAGGCCATTGCGTGGCCGTTTTTCAGGACGACGGCACATTCCTTTATCGCATTGGCAACGAGAAAGTCACCTGCTTTCCCAACGGCATCGATATATCCAATGCCGGGGATGTGCTTATTGGTGATTCTCATGGTAATCGCTTCCACGTGGCCTGCTATTCGCGGGAGGGCGCCCTCCAGTCGGAGTTTGAGTGTCCTCATGTAAAGGTCAGTGGCTGAAAAATATCAAACTCACAAATCATAAATGGAATCATTTATAAATAACCCCCCATTATATACTAAATGCATTTGTCACGCTATTTTTTTTTGGTTGTATTATGAAGTGAAATCTTGTATTATTTAAATAGGAAAAAAAAAACATAATTTTTAATGTCTAAAGTATTAAAAAAATTATGTACATTTGTACACAATTTGAAATTGTACCCCCTAACTTTAACTGTATTAATTTACTTCGAAAACTTATAGTTAATGATATTCAAATTTTTTCAACAAATAATTAAATAATATATAATAATATAATTCATGACAAAGACATTTTTTATATTTTTATTTTGCTTAAAAAGCAAAAAAAAAAGAGTCTTGTGAATCCCCTTGTGTATACATCGAATCTATAAAAATATTGCTTTTAAAATTAAATTCAAAATATCTTAAAGTTTGATAAATTGAAAATAAAAAATAAAAATTTTAAATTAATAGTTAATGAGATCAAATTTATTCAACAAATATTTCAATAATTTGTCTTATTTTTACCGATTTTTTAGAACATATTCAATTGAATTTAGATTTTACAAATTTATATAAATAAATATAATAATACACACACATTCCCGCTACATATTTATATTTAACTCTACAAATATTTTTTTTAAATATCATGTTTTTCGCAATTTTTTAAGTTTTTTTCTTTCTTTTTTTTGAGCTATAAGTTAACTAACCTTTAATTTGCAGGTTTCACGCTGCTGCGGCCTAAAAATCACATCCGAGGGCTATGTGGTAACGCTGGCCAAGAACAATCATCATGTTCTGGTTCTCAACACCCTCTATGTTCACTGATTGCAAATCAAGGCGCGCAACAATCGTCCATCAGTCGATATAGTCAAATACAACTACAAATACTCGTCGGGCAAGATATACGGCTGTCGACGTCAGCAGCAGCAACAGCAGCAGCAACAGCAAGCAAACAGCAGCATTGACATGAGCAACAATTTTCTGGCTAGAAAGCAGCAACAACAAGGACATCAACAAGAGTGCAACGAAGAGGACACCACCACCAACAGCAATTACAACAACAACAACAATAATAACAATTACAACAATAACAACAACAATTACAACAACCAACAGCTGCCGTCGTTAGCAACAGCACCGTCACGCGAGTGAATATAAATATATATATAAAAAAAAACAAATCAGGATATATAAAACAAAAATTCAGGAGCAACGTGTTTGACATCATGTTCAAGAAGCAACAACAGCAGCCATTTAAGACCATGCATATGTATATATATATTGGACGAAATATATGCATATGTGTGTGTGTATGCGCCCGACGATGAGCAAATATAAAAAGAGAAATCTCGAAACACCAAAAAAAATATATATATATAACAAAATAAAAGCTATAAAATAAATCCTTTAAAGCTGCATATAAAACAACAACTTTTGCCGTTTGTTAGACACACAGCAACTGTATAAATAACAACAACCAACAACCAACAAATGATAAAACAAACAAAATGCAACAAAATACTATTTTTGATCTCTAATTTAAAAACAAAATTAGCGCTACTAACAAACAAAAACAACAACAAATCCAAACAAAAAAAAATATTTTACTTACAAAAAAAAAACAACAACAAAATCGTGCAAAAAAGAGGAAATCAAGTTTTAATCATTTTTAAAAAATGTGTTTTTTCAAAAAACTATTTTTACATTGTTTTTCGATTTATTCGATTTTTATCATTACTATTATTATTATTATGATTATGATTATGCTTTTGTCACATCAAAATAACTAAAATTATGTTCTTGTTAAACAGACACATACATGTACACTAACACACACACACACACGTGCAAAACTTGTATACATGTTACTTATTATCTATATATTATCTATATAGAAGTATATATTGTTATATCGATCGATTAGCTTTTTTGTGCATACACCCTTCCAGAATCTTTTTTAAAAACAAAAGGAAACGCGCAGATATATATACATATATATATATATTTATATATATAAATATATATAGCAAAAATGTGCAACTTTTGTGCACAAAACCCACAAAAAATAAAATAATAAGATGAGAAGAAGGAAGCAAGAGTTAAGAAAATTGTTGAGGACGACGATGCGTCATACAGGCAATAATTAAATAGATGAATATCATGAAATCCACGTAGTTTATTTTGATTTCAAGAACTAAATTTAAACTAAAACCAAACCACTAACAAATAAACTGTTTAGGTTTTTCCTTACGCTGCTTAAATAAGGTGATATCTATTTATATATAAATATTTATATATAAATGTATGAAAAAAACAACTAATGAAAATGTATCTTAAAAATATGAGTGTGTGAAAATCCTATGACTATATGACTTTGCCATATAAACACATCAATTGACTTTCTTTGTGTGTGTGTGTGTGTGTGAGTGTGCAACCAAAAACAACAACATACAAATTAAACTGTAAGCTAAACAAACCAAACGAAATAAATGATAAATAACATGAAATATAACGACAGGCAAGCAAGCGAGAAAAGAAAACCAACAGAACAAAAACGTATCTGTTAAGTTCATATTTACATTGTTACACAAAACAAAACAAAACAAACGATATTCCTTTTTTTGCTTATATAAATATATATACAAATCAAGTGCAACACATGTGCATTGTATCCACACACGCAAACTAACAACAACAACAACAAAGCAAACACTCACGATTATTTACGGATATACATGCAACATTTCTTTCCCGTTGTAATACAATTATAAGGCTGGTTTTACTCCCAAGACATTATTATTTTACAAAACAAACAAAACAAAAAACAAAAAAAAAAAAAAAAACAAACACGTATATGTGTATATATAATGTATAATATTTTACGATTATGATTTACCTTTTTGTTGACAAGCAAAAATATCTTTATTATATACAATCTAAACGTTTTTCAAACTTGCGTCAACTTGATACATATATCATGATTAAGAGCAAATGGCAATTTATTTAGCGAAGAAGAAACTTATTTTTTATAGGCTGTAACCACATTTATTATACATCAACATCAACAACTAAAAACAACACAACAACAAACACGCAATCACTAAACATAAAACTAATTAAATCATACAACGAAGTGAACTTTTAAATTCTTACAAAAAGAAGAATATGTTTTAAACTGAATTTAATGTTAATTCCTCTTCCTCGCGTTTTGTGTTTCATTATTATTATTATTATTACGTGGAAGTAGAAGCGAAAGAGACGAAAACTGTTTTGTAATCTTGTCATTTTTATATAAGTTATATAAATGTTAAGTTGTTCTAAAAAAAAAAAAAACAAAATACTACAAGACGAATATACATACTAATAATTACGTTTTAAATTGTAGCAATCAAGGATTACAAGCTGTCATACTTATAACTATTATTATGTTTATTGTTTAGTTTTTACGTTTGTTACACACGTGTGAGGCTCTACACAAAAACCTATAGTGAAACGCTTCTGTTTATGTTTATTATGCCACTGAAATTATGTAACCTAACATCTAATATATAATTAATGGATTATGTATTTATGTTGGAGAAAGAGAGGCCGCGGAGAGTGGAGAGCGGGGGCAAAGAAATGCAATTTTTGTGAAACAATTTGGCTGTTGAAATATATAGTTTTGTAATTTTAATTACGTTTCCTTATTCTTTTTGGTCGTTAAGCTAGGCGCCCCCTCTCAACCGAATCCCAAAATAATTGTTGAACAACTATGTTTTTTATTGAATTTAATTTTAGCCTTTGGTTTCCATTGCCCTGTCTATATTTCTATTTTTGTCGCTGCATTAACTACGAAAGTATTAAGAGGAAACATACATATAATATATATTTTACAAGTCGATGGAGAAAACTCAAATGCAAAATATACCAAAATATTTGTTTTTAATTCCTTCCCCCCACCCGCCAAGTCGTATTTTTATACATTTTTATTTGTCATTTTCAGCGTTGACTCTTTGTGTTTTTTTTTTTTTTAAGGAAATAATAATAACGTTAAGAAATTGAATTTTACATTTCATTCTAGTTTTTATGTGTATAGGCCTTCAAATGAAATTGTAATTCCACACGCTTTTATTTTACAAAAAACAAAAACAAGACGACAAACAAAGTGAAAGAAACTACATGCATATATGTTATACCCAATTTTGAGTTTCGATTTGATTTCTAAAATCGATTATTGCTTTAAACAAAAATTGTAAATTTTATTTTTTAAGTTGTAAGACGAAACATGATATTAAGTGAAAACAAAACAAACAAACTTCCAAACACCAAATACACACACACACACACACACACACACACACACACACACACACACACACACACACACACAAAAACATTAACAAAATACCCAAAAACAAATTTATTTCTTATGTCATACAAATTTTGATGTGAAAACAAAAACCAAAAATAAACAAAAATGTGCTTAAGTTTAAATCAAATTTACAATTTAGTTGAGATTATGACGATGCAACTATAGCGACTATAGGATTTCTAGCGAAAATATATATATTATATATTGTGTATTATGCATAATAATTACGTACGATTAGCGAATGGCCCAAGTAACGGGGGGGCGTTGAAGCAGTGGGCGTGGCCAAATTGACAAACTGCTAACTAGCCGAGAACCCAAGAAATAAACAAGCAACAAAGTTACATCCAACAAACACAAGTGAGTGAAACGAATGTAAATTAATATGGGACAAAAAATTAAAATTAATACGAGAAGATGGAGAAATCAAACAAATAACGATAGCGAGAACGAGAACAAACTGACGAGAAATACGAACGAGAACTAGTAAGATGAGAACAAAACCAATAACGATAGCGAGTTCGGGAACGAGAACGAGAACAAACTGACTAGAAATACGAACGAGAACTAGTCAGATGAGAATAAAACGGACAACGATAGCGAGATCAGGAACGAGAGCCAGTATGAGAACGAGAAAAAACTGACGATAAATAGACCAAAACATCATCCGCCCACCTTCTCCGCCCCTTGCCACCCACTGCGCTTTAATTTTTAAAGGCCATTCAACGCCTGCTAAAGAGCAATAAAAGAAAGAATTGTATAATGTGACGAAAGTGCTTTCACTTTCCACTTTCCCCGCCCCCCCCATCATATTCTAGTATACAATATACCACTTCTATCCGTGTTATCTATGGTTTTTACTTAACTCTTTAACTTCTAACTCAGCAAATCGGTCGAGGCAAAGAATTGTTTACAACTAATTAGAAAATATTTAATTATACACGCCACGCGCACACACACACACAAGACAGGCAGACAGACGGACAGGCCCTGCAGTACCAGAATTTCTTAAGGAAAATTTCCCGTCAGATTTCCGAAAAAAATTCTATTTCACGAAGTTATTCCTAGTGAAATTCCGATGAATTCCGGCTGAATTTATTTCGAAATTCCGTTAGGGTTTTGAAATTAGGAATGTTCTGGAGGTATTCATCGAGAATTCCCAGGGAACTTTCTAGGGAATACCACAGAATTCAGGATCTGAATAAATTCCCTCGAAAATCCTCGGGAATTCCTGATGATTTCCTGAGGTTTGGTACTGAACGGGACAGACAGCAATGATGTATACAAACACATGTTTCTCAATCACTTGATTCCTACTCTACACATATATATATACATATATTATTAAAATACTATATAGATATAGACGACGAATTGGCAAAGATCTAATTAAGAGAAAGTCAACAACACGAAGAAACCCATTTATTAAAGAGATGCTGCCAAAGATTTTTTATATGTACAATTGTATGTGAAAAATTCGGGGGAAGATGAAAGAGAGATGAAAGAGCCATTTATTTATTAACTATTAAATATTGCAAACTTCTTATTTGTACGATTTCGATTATCATTTCATTTCGTATTTTGTTAATTTTATTTTGTGGAATAAACGATGATATTTTTGAGACTTTTGCTCAAAGTGAATGAAACAGAAATTAGGCGCAGCGCTCTAAAACTAACTAATTAATAAAACTAAACGATGCTAAATATATATATATATATATATATGCATATATGATAACCTCAAATGGGGCGCGAAAGAAGTATTTGAATTTGTTGAATTGAATTTGTTCCTCGATGCGACGAAACACACAAA